CTGTTGTTATTATACCACGCATGACTATTTTGAGTCAAGTGTACTTACCTCTGCAGTTTCTGCCATCATGAGACGTACTTTCAAAGCCAGACTTACAGGAGCAGTCGTACGAGCCTTCAGTGTTGAAACACATAGAATTTGCCCCACAGTTATGTTGATTAGATTCGCACTCATTCTCATCTGCAGGAAACGAAACTATTACTAATTATTTAAAATATTTATCCGTCTATGATTGGCTCAAATCAATTGCTACTTCTTCATAACGAGGTAGCGTTGACCAAATTTGGAAGATTTTTGCCAATGTTAATGACGTTTACGTCCAGTGTGCTGATGATCGACAGAAAAAGGAAGAGATAGGGGCGAGGTCACTCGGCTGCGTTTAGAAAAATTTCACTAGTTATGCGAAGACGAAATAGTCTAAAAACTACCTAAAAACAATAATAAATAGACACAAAATACCACTCCTCGGATAACAACTGCTACTTGAAAAGTATCCTCAATATGCCGACAAATAGGCAAATGCTTTTAGGAGTGGAACATTATAAAGATCGAGGTCAGCATGTTTTGAGGTTAGGCATACTTTGAATGAATAATAAAACAATTACTCGAACCACAAAATTGTTCAAATCATACTAAGCGTCATCCAAACGTTGCCAAAATTAATATAAATTCAATATTATTTTTTTCGAGTACTATAGTTGTAAGGCTGATAAGAGCTGTTATAAACTAGTGAACGACCTCGACAGCCGTGGGAAGATGACGTATATCAAAATCTCCTCCTTTCCCCCTCCCCTAAAATCCTTCCCCTCCCTCTTCCCTCCTCTATTCTTCCTCCATCAAGAAAACCATCCCCCTCCATTTATTCCCTCCCTCTTCCCTCCTCTCTTCCCCTTCCCCTAAATCCTCCCCTCCCTCTTCCCCCTCCTCTCTTTCCCATCCCCTAAAACGCCCCCCTTCCTCTATTACCTCCGTCTTCCCTTCTCCCTTCCCCCTCCCCTAAAACCCCCCCCTCCATCTACTACCTCCGTCTTCCCTCCTCTCTTCCCCCTCCCCTGAAGCCCTTCCCCTCCCTCTCCCTCTACTCCCCCCTTCTTCCCTCCTTTCTTCCCTCTTCCCGGACCTTTTCCTGCCGTATCATCGAGCATTATTTCTTTGTTGTGCTTACCAATACAATTGATATCCTGATCTCTGTATTCACTACTCCACAGTTTCCTGTATCCTTCGTCGCAGCCACATCGGTAAGATCCCATTTCATTGATGCATTTGGAATGATTTGTTGGACACGAATATAGGCTTAAATTCGCACATTCATCAACATCTGTAACAAAATTAACATCGAAGAAAGATAGGAAACATCATCGGGTTGTTAGTTTTTATTAGCGGAGCTCCACGCCCGAGCGAGCGTAGCCCCATACCTATGAAAATATGGTAATCTACCCATCCAAGATATTTTGGTAATCACATGACCGTACTTTCGACCGCCCGTCCGTCCGTCCGCACCACTGGCAACCAAAGTAAAATAACTCAATCAACAGGTATGGCAACCCAAACGCAACTCGAGGTTCTTTTGGCAGGAAATCGCACAGCCACCCGCGTCTTGTGAAGCAGAGACAACTAAACAGTCAACAAAGACGAAAACGGAAAGCGGAAATTGTTTCCGTATCCGTGTTGTCTAAAGTATTAAGCTTAGATTTATTGTCATGTCCACAGATTTGGAATCTAGAGAAAGAGAAAGCAGGCGACAGGCCAGCGAAGCTTGACGAGAAAAAGAGCGACAGAGAGCTAGAGCGAGATACAACAAAAAAAGGAAACATTTTTTGTTGGATAAACAACATGAAAGTTTTGTAGCGGCAGTGAGAAAATGAGAAATGCTGTAGCATCACCTTAAAACGTGTAACTAGGGAGTTTCTGGACGTTTCACGTTGTAGTCGTGCAAAACAACGGAAAAGAAATGTCCAAAAATGTGTGCTGCACGTGCAGAGTTACTTTTTTGCTAATTAGACCTATTGTTGTTTTTTCACCGTCCTCGTTGCCTTCGCCGCTTAAAGGTGATGTTACACGGGACGACTTGCAACGACGATTTTCAGCGCAACACAGTGTTGCAACATTGTTGTCACATCGATTCGAAAGGCTGCAACATTGTTCAACATTTGAACCCCATGTTGCGCTAAAAATCGATTTTATATTTTGTTTAAGCAAACTATATATATTATCGACAGCTTCGCTTTTCGCCCTGGCTAAATATATTTAGTATATATTTAAACAGTGGACAGTGTTTTTCGCGCGCTCTGATTGGCTACTCAGTCAGTGAATATCCTGCACTATTCACTGATTCACCTCCAGTTCTTCTTGGCGAAAGACGCCAAACTCGCGTAAGTTGCGAGCAAAATGCCTTCCCGGTTTGCCGCCGTAACAAACAAAGAAATTTCACAACTAATCAAGCGAGCTGTTCCCGAAATACATAGGTAACGAAGTCCGGTTTGGAGGTTTTAATAGGTAAAGCTTTGTCTTTTTGACTCGAATTTATCGTTAAACCCGGTGAAAAAGGTTTTTTGTTCACAAATGCAAATTAAGCTTAAGTCTTGCGTTACTTTATTTAGTTGACTTGTTCATAAATAAGCTTAAAGCTAAATTAATAATCTTTTTTTACAGAATGATTTTAAATACAAAAAGAATTCACAACTCGTTTTGAAGAAATTTCCCCGCAAGAGCTAAACAAATGCCGTCAAAAGTTTTATTTGTCGGCAAGAAAAAGCGAGTGTCGGTGGCTAGAGGTGGATAATTAACTCGCTGCTTCGCAGCCGGCTAAATTTCACGACTAGCCACCGACACTGAGGTGAATAATTGTTATACATTTTGTATTTAAGGTAAGAAAATAATAAAAATAACAGTCTTACCCAAACAGGAAGACAATTTGGTATCATTATAAACCGGTGGATATCCGGGACTGCAAAGACACTGAAAGGATCCAACTGTGTTTAAACAGTAGGTGTCCTTCAAAGGACAAGCGTTCTTAGCAGCAGCACACTCGTCAATGTCTGAAATTAAAATAAATAAATGAAATCAATCTTTCTTCTAACGAAAACCTCTGTATTGAAGATAAGGCGTTCTTTTACTACACGCTTGCAGCCACGTGAGAAGGCGGCCACGTCGGTTGAGAAATTAATACGGAATTTATACATACAAAAAGAATTTTAATTAGTTCCCAACGGAGAGAAAAAGTCTCATTCTTATTTGTCAACCATCCTCTTATATCCAGAAATGCAAGAAAACGAGGAAGTTAGGAAGAAAATTATGGATCATTATGTGCTTCTGGGAAACTGCCCGCCTACCCCTCCCCTAAGCCAACATTTTGCCGTCAATATTGACCGCTTTTCATCCATTTTTTCACTTTACCAAACAAAACTTTAAAGCGCGAAAAAGGTACCTTTTTTTCAGTTTGAAGCAATCTCTTCAAAAGCGCGAAAAGGGTACCTTTTTTGCGGTTTAGAAACGTTCCTATCAAAAGGGCAAAAGAGGTACCTTTTTTGCGGTTGGAAGTGATGTTCTCAAAAAAAAAAATAAATGACGTTTCAATTAAAATCCTACTGATTGACAGATGTCAAGCAACCGTTGGCGCCCCTAACGAACGACACACAGACGTTTTTAGGGGACTCTATGTCCCGTTTCTACAATCGAATTTCGCAGTCCCGAATCTAATTAAAACGAGCAAAACCCATCCTAGACTGCCCTAGAAACATCTGTATGGGAGGCTATTGGCCCCGGCTATTTAACAGAAATGGCTCGGAAGCGCAATATTATAATTATCGCGTCCTGCATTATTGGTATATTTTCCGACCTACGTACGTGGGTCTACTATGGGGAATCATCGGACTAAAAAAAAATAGCTGGCTCCTTTTAGCCGATCAAAATTGAGAAACTAGACTGAAGAGATCCGAAAATACTGGCTACCATCCAAATGGAGGAAATAGCTACTGGTTCTTTCAAACTAGATATATGTGGAGGAACTAAGCAAGCCGGCCTATTTTTAAGCGTGGAGCGAAGACTTAAAAAAGTCCTATATGAAAAGTCGAACCATTTTAATCTGCGAAAAAAATATATCAGATTCTACGTCGATCTACGACAAACAGCAGAGAAGTGTTTTTTTCTTTTAAGTCTAAACTGAGCGGGTTATCATAATAACTGTTTTGTTTCGTGGGTGCCTTTTTTCACTCCGGAACTGGTCATTAGAGACTTCAGTCAGGTTCAGTCCAGTGGTTTAATAAACTGTTTTGCAATAATGCAAACTAGATTTCGAATTTGACCTCGGGTGACTTTTGAGCCGCAAGCAAATGGCGCCAAACGATTGACATCTGTCAATCAGTAGGATTTGAAACGGCTTTCAAATATAGTTTGAAAACGCCATTTATTTTTAAGGTTCCTTTTTCGCACTTATGAGAACATCGCTTCCAACCGCAAAAAAGGTACCTTTTTCGCGCTTTTGAAGAGATCGCTTCAAACTGAAAAAAAAGGTACCTTTTTCGCGCTTTAAAGTTTTGTTTGGTAAAGTGAGAAATGGATGAAAAGCGGTCAATATTGACGTTAAAATATTTTCACCCGAGAGCTTAAAATACCCGCCTTTTTTTTCTAAAAAGGTACCTTTTTTAACTTTTCACCTCATCGACTAGCATTAACAAAAAAGGTAACACATATTGTTCTATGAAAAATACATGCAGAAAGTTAAGTTTTCTGCTCTTTTCAAGTAGCAGAGTTGATCTTTTGTAAAAAAGTAGAATTGCCGGAACCTTTCACTGATTATATCTATATCAAACACATCTAACCAATCGTGACCGGCGTGATATCAACTGCAAGTCAGCAATTGTACTGTTATGACAAAACGCCTTTTCTAGCTTTGACGTGGACACTAACAATTATCACGTTCTGTTTTCCTTTGCTTTGCATTTTGTGAAGTATGATTCAAAGTGACTAGGTATTTTCTCACCGTACATATCATGACCCACCTAGACAGTCAGTGGAGTTTCCGGGCCTTGGCTTGTATCCATCACGGCAATCGCAGGTGTACGATATCGGAAGATTTACGCATTTTAGGTTCTTAGGACAGACACCAGGTATCTCACACTCGTCTACATCTGTAAAGAACGTACCAATACGCAGTAAAGAATCTAAGGCAACGTTCAGAAAGGTCGAACTTCAAATGGGACGAACCTAATGTTAATCAGCCAGACCAATAGATTTTGTTCATGATCGAAAACTTATTTATTCAGGGAAATCCCGTTAAGGCAGTCGAGGCAGAACCCGTTATAAATAGGAGCCCTATCACTATCAGCATTTGGACCAAGATCATGGCCTCTGCAAAGTACTGAAGAAATTTTTTCCCGTATAAAATTGATTCTTTTACAAATTTCTTAAGAAAGAAACTGTTTTTAGAGTCTTCACGCAAGACAATGGCCGTTTCCAAAGTAAGACGTATTGTCTATCTGACACGGTTAAATATGTACGACGAAAAAAATTGCATCGTTGATGTGAAAACGACCAACGTTTTCGCTGTGATAGCAAAATATATAGGGGCAACAAATGAGAATTCAAATTTTGTTCTTAAGGCTTAAAGGGTTAAGCTCTCTAAATACATTGATAGAATTTTAACCTATGAGAGGTCCGTTGTAGACTTCCACCTCTCGAAAGCTCAAAATACTTGACTTCCTTCTCAGCTTAAGAGTGACAAATCTTCCTCGAGTAGCCCTTGGACAGGTCATAACTTGCACAATGTCATTAGTCGGTTTCCATTTGGCAACAAGTCTATTGGGTTCATCTGTAGGATGTCGTTCGCCTGAAATGAGTTATCAAAATGCAATGTAATGGGCGCGTATAGCCAGCAATTAACTATTTACTCATTAGCATAAAGATGATGTCATGTGAATTGCGGATTACAAATCTAAATGAGATGGTGAATCTGATTTAGATTTGTCTGTCAGCAGTTCAGATCATCCTCATTCTAAGTTTAAATTCCTTCACAGGTTAAGGTGAACTAGAAAGACTGGACTGTACGTATTTATGTATGTATGTCGGGTCTTCATAGCTCAGTTAGCAGAACACTGCAGCGCTGACGCTGGAGACCATAAGTTCAAATCACATTGAAGCCTCGTACTTTCAGACAACCATTTATTATTGATAAAACAGGTAATAATGTTTATAGGGGAATTCCTGGCCATGTTTTGTCATTACTTTTAATTCATAACGTGTAATATGAGGCCAAAATGCTATGGCAAATGCTAATCTAAGGCAATGTCAACAAGTTTATTGGAAAACATCAATATTCATTTGATCTAGGCAGATACATTTACCACTCGAGTTACTTTAACTTAGTATGAATAATGAGGGTTTTTATACAGGCACTTAACACAATAAGATAACTCAACCTCTTTCGAAGGATTCTCTCCTACTCTTGAGCGACAAGAAGAAGCCCTGAGAACGAGGTTGGAAGAAAACTGTGCCTACCTACTCTGAGCTCCAGGCCTTCAAAGTCACTCTTTTTGTAACCTACTGCTGTTACTATACGGATCATATGAATCTTAGTCCTGACCAGTAAGTCAACACTCCACCAAGCCACCTGACTTTCCAAGTTTGTACTGAATGCTTTGTCTATTCGGAAAACAGTAAAAAAGTTACTTCACGGTCTGAGAGAACTCTCTTGTGATCTGCCCTTGTCTAGAATCTATATATTTTGATGCTGCATGAGCCTATCAATGGCGACCTTCGAAAACAACTAGCTTTTTAAGCCAAAAAAATGTTTACTAAATCCAAACCTGAAACAGTTACACTCTAGGGTTTAGAAATTGGCGCTTGGACAATAGGGCCTCTTCGTCTGAAGCTTTCTCACAAATATTAACAATCCCAAGGGGATTTTTCCCTTTCAGTAAGATTCTGACCGTTATAATTTGCAGCAAAGTAGCAATTTCCATGTACAATTGGTGTCTAATAGATTACTGTATAGGTGGAAACCTGAAAAACTTCTTTCAGAATTCATCTATCATGACTAAGTCACTTACATACCCACTTTATGATCGGTGGCAAGGCCAGCAAAAATATCCCTTGAAGAAGAATAAGTAGTTCGACTTCCAGCTACGTTGACTGAAAAAGAAGTTGTTAACAATGGTTCCATAATACACTACTAGACTTGATGCCTTCCTTTTTACTTGTGTACAATTGCTGTGTAAGTGATTATCATGCATTAGCTGTTTGAATAAGCGGGACATTTCATATGTGCAGTAATGATGGTCTACATAACGATAGACAAGATGGTTCTCACCCATTCCAGAGTGCAAAAGGACGCCACATAAATACAGCTAAATCGAAAAAGGTTGCTTTGCTAATTTGTCTTTCGGGCATATGGAACAAGGATTTACTTTAGTGACCACCAAACAATAGCTTGCCAATACCTAATTCCCAATGCCCAAAGCTACCTTTCTTTAATCAGGTATATCTCAAACATTTCAATGTAATTACTTGCTTAAAAGTAGGAAACCATTTTTGATGTTCAATCAATTTCGATTTGATATATTTGATTTCATTTTTATCATAAAAAGGTCATTTTTCTGCCACAATAAAGACCAAGATGATGTCCTTTTGAATAATGACGTAAATATGACGTTACATGACGTACAAGTGGTTAACTTGGACAATCTCGGTGTAAGGAACTTCAAGCATTTCAAGATATTTTAAAGCATTTCACTGTTGTAATAAACTAATGCGACGGTGATAATTTACAATGGTGTTCCAGATAATATTACACACTTAATGTCAGATCCCGAGGGAAACAGTTAGCTTTGTTTTTCCGAGAGTCCTGACGTTTCGTCACGAGAAACATCAGGACTCGAGGGAAAACAAAGCTAACTGGTTTCGCAAGGGACCTGACATTAAGTGTTTTGTCTGGACTTTCCCTTCAACAGCAACAAAAGAATAATCAGAGCGAATCAAAACAGCCGATTCTTTAATTCTCAAAACTACCGAATGAATGATTTACAAGGAAATTTCCTTCTATTATCTCCATCTTTTTCCTCCAAGTCTACTGACTAGCTGCCGTTTCTCTTCTGGGATAACTTTGAAACCCATTGCTTGTTAGCTTGAGTATTCATGCTTGTGTTGTGGACTCCTGTTGTGTTCATTCCCGGAAGTGAAAACTGGCAGTGTTTTTCCCGCCTTACGTCACGCCACTTTCCACCATGCTTTGATTATGTGGTTGAACGGGGTACAATTGCTCAAATGTATCACGATCGGGATACATTTCACTTTATTCAAGGCCATGTGACCAAGAATCAGCCAATGGCGGTCCCTGTTTAGTTGAGTGAAAGTCTTGGAATATAACAATTTAGATTATCTCGGGACAAACTGCTAAAAAGTTCATCATAATGCACTTGAAACCCTGGGTAAGCCATTATCTTACCTATTCTTGTTGAGAACACTTCCACCTCACACAGTTCTAAAATAACATTTGGATTTGAAGCTTGAATCTTCAGGAACCGTCCAACTAGAGTCCGTTTGCATTCTAAGTACTCTCCACCCATAATAGGCTTACTAACATGACAGCAGAGAGAATCTTTCGGAGGCTTCGTTCGAAGCTCTGGGAATCCTGTTACATTCTCACCTTTGTAATAAAACAGGCACTGTTGAAACACATCTATACATCCTGCACTTCGTTTATAACATTTTGTTGAATATTTCGTATGTATTAACTTTATGGTTATGTACTAGTTAGCTATACACGACAGCATTTGCTAATTTTTGTTTTACGTCTTCTCGAGTAAAAAAATATAGGCTTAGTACTTACTTCAGAAATCGAAAAATACAAATGTCTTTATTTTCTTTTGTAGATGTTTTGTTCGTTGTTGCCGTTGGGGGGGGGGGGGGGGGGAGGGTCACTGACCTACATAGATGTCAATGTCCTTCAGTCCATTCCATTTGTGCACGTCTGCAAGTTCCTTCTGAAGATAAATAAGCACCATGGCAACACGGTTATTGGGACCCAAGTCGGTTACCCATGATGCTTTTCCTTTGTATTTAGAGTAGAAGCAAGGTGGACCACCCAACAAGTATTTACCATCTGTAGCAGCGTTTGCGAGTGGGTTTCCTTTTGCGGTAAAATTCGTTGATCCAAGCGCAGCATGCTTTAATGCGATGTTCGCTACCAATGAACAATAAAATGAACAATAATTAGGTGCACAACAGGTGCAAAACAAAGTCAGCAAAAAACAGTTGAACATGTTGAACAATAGGTTTTTTATATGGCCTGCTATACGCAGGGGACATTTTCTTTTTTTGGCCCTGAAACTCTTGCATCCTTCAACAGGTGATTGCCACCTGTCGATAGAGCTCATCTGATTCTGTTATTGAAGAGAGGTAAATACTTCTCACAGTTACGACCATTAGTGTTGTACTGACATATAAGGCCCACTTATGTCCAGAATTGAACACAGTCGCAAAATTGGCCGGCTAGCAAATTGTTTTCGCAATTTTCCCAAATAAGATTTCATTAAAACTGGTATCAGAAATATATAGAAGAAATAGCAAATATAGCAAGAAGAACAAATTCAACAAGGATTAGAAACTGTAGAAAAAACTTTCTGGCAAATATTTTACGCTATTTTAGCAAAAACATGCTTAACAGAAACCGCGTGCAGAAATCTAAAGAAGTGTGCAAAAATCGCAAAAAAAAAACAAGAAATTTCATTGCAACAAAAAACACACTGATGAATATCGTAGGAATATCAAGAATAACAAAGTAAGCAATAGCTCACATTTATAAAGAAAAAGGTAAGTTAAAAAAAGGTCCTCTAGAGATCTGCAAATTTCGCAAAAATCGCAAAAGTGACAAGAATTTTCTTCAGCAACAACAACAACAACAATTGCTAACAATTGCAAGAATAACATTTTTGACCAAAAGATCACTCTTATAAAGGAGACTGGCAAAGAGGGCAAAGTCTAAAAATTTCGCAAAAATCGCAAAAGTAACAAGAATTTTAATTGCAAAAAGAAAAACAAATTTAGCTAAAGTTCATACTTATAAAGACCAAACGCCCTCCAGAAAAAATTCATAACTGAAGGAAATCATTTGTGAGACACTTACACTTATCGCAAATAAAGCAAGAATAACAAATTTAACAAAATTCTAGACTTGTAAAGGAAAAAAGGCAAAGAAGGGCCACGAGAACGTCGCAAATTTCGCAAAAATCGCAAAAGCAACAATAAATATCCTTGTAATCTAAAAAGACAGGGTAACAAATATCTCAAGAATAGCACGAATAAAAAAGTTAACAAAATTCTAGACTTCGAAAGAGAAAAGGCCAAGAAGGGCCTCGAGAAGGCCGCAAAAACCGCAAAAGCAACAAGAATTTTCATGCAAAAAGAAAAAAACTTCAACAAATATCGAATCAATACCAGGAATAACAAATTTAGCAAAGTTCATATCTATAACGAACAAAGGTAAAGAAGGCCCTCCAGAAGGCCCTCTAATTGTCCGCAAATTTCGCAAAAATCGCTAAAGCAACAAGAATTTTCATTGCAAAAAGACAAACGCTTTAACAAACATCGAATCAATAATTAGAACACCAAATTTATGAGAGGTTCATACTTATAAAGGACAAAGGCATCACCAGATCCTTTCGTCAACAAGAGATCTGGGTACGAGATTTCGAGTGACTTCGTTTGAAACGTCGAACTTTTCATATGCCGAACCTTATGCATAAACAATTATTGAATTCGGCTTTCGTATCACCTGAAGAATTATGGAGATCGAGGAGGGTGTTGGATAACGCCATCCGAGATCTCCAGCCTCGTTCCCAGTCGTCCTCGGCGATTTAGGATGTGACGTCACCTGTCAAGCTTGTCGGGAAAATTCGCCGAGGACGCCTCGCGCTATCGCGCTCGGTTCCAAACCTCCTCTGGTCACTCGGATAGCGCGAACTGGCCTGGGTACGAGGCTGCGAGATCTCCACAATTCTTCAGATGAGGCGAAAGCCGAATTCAATAATTGTTTTATCATCCATTTAAAATAATTCCTAGTTTACAAACAAGCTAAAGCATGCTTACCTCCATCGATGTTAAGTTCATTTTCGATATTGCATGTTATTCGGCAAGTTTAATCAGGAGATAAAGGATTGTTCAGCTTAGAAAATGTTCTCCAAATAGCAGACGTCGTCCTTCGAGTTGTCTTGTTGCTGTTCTTGCCATGTTTTTAGCCAATATTTCGCCTATTTCTTCCTCGTGAAACGAATGAAATATTCCTCCATGCCATTTTTGAACTAACTACCAAAACAACTCAACCTTGTCCCCAGGTCTTCGCGGTTAACAGTTCTCTAATCTGGCAATTTTGCTGCACTATTGACGTCATGATCATCTTTCAAAATTCTTCCAAATTTGATCGACATGAATTATGCGTGGGATATTAGCCGGTCAGAAACGGATAAATATTTTGAATGAATAATAAATAACTATAATTTACTTTCACTGGTTTGTGAACCGTGACAATGAGTCCCCCCAATTAAGTTCGACGTCTTATTCAACTAACCGTCCAACTTATATCATTTGGGTAGACCCAAATAGGTATTAGGTTCGGTACATGAAAATTTCGGCGTTTGAACTTAGCCTAACTCTCTCGGTACTTGGAAGCAACCGTAAAAACATTATACGACTTCAATCAAGATACTTCAGTCATGATGAGGAAAAAATTCCAGTTAAAATGCCAAAAAGATCTTCACAGAAAAGAAGGAGAAATTTCAATTACAAGCAATGTTTTTCATGCTCTTACCATACGGTTCGGTGTAGACTTCAACCTCACAGAGCGCCAAAATTGATGATGATGTCTGGATCTTAACGACGTCCCCAAAGTAGGTGGTCTTGGAAAACTCAAATCCTACATTCCAAAGGGTACCTTTTGGAAAATTGTCTATCATTGCGAAGATACTATCCGCACGCAACTTCATTCCACTATAGCCTTTGATAGAAAACGTTAAAAGTAAAGATAAACGGGGTGTTGTGGAGGTTGATGCTTAAGCCGTGTTGTGACAGAATTGATTATTGCTCATGTGCTCCTTCATTAGCTCAACGCACCCACCAGATATGCGCACTGTTTTTCAAGTTAACTCTACATTGTCTCTCGAATCGTTTTCACGTGAGTCACTTGGGGAAATAGGCCATTTGCATGATGACGTCATTTTACTGCTACGACCAGAATCCTTCAGGGTTTTGCTTTCTTGTGCAAATGAGGGCTTTTGTTATTTAAACCTCACTGGGGCTACCAAATTTAAATATGAAAAGAAAACCGAAAAGAATTCTGGTCGTAGTAGTCAAGTGACGCCATCTTGAAAATGACCTATTGTCGTTTCTTTTTTTCAGTATAATGAGGTTTTTATTTTTCTCGATCTTCACAACCGGGGAAAACACCGTATTTTGCTCTGCAAAAATATTGTCTGAGAGAAGTTATAAAGGAGTTAACATTGCACTAGTTTACAGATACGAACGTGCGTTATGGCTACGCCCCTACGACCATCAGCAACATAAATTAACAATTGCTTATTTCCCTACCTATAAAAATCTTGAGTCTTTTGAGGTCAAATTCCTTTGATGAAGCAATCTGAACCGAGACGATTGGGTGTGTTCCGTCAAGATGAACATCAGCCATGGTTTATAAGTGGACACGGAGCGAAAGCAGTTAGCATAATCACCGTCAACTGCAAGCTTTGCCAAGGCAAGGACTTCTTTACAACCTTTGTGGTTGCAGCCAGCGTAATTGTCAACTGACGAGGAACTCGTTTTACTGTTCAATGCCTGATTCTGTCTACTGTATTTGAGCTTCGGTTCTAAATGAAATAAAAACTTTGTTACAAAAAACACACTTAACCGAAGCTTGATAGGCGCACTCTCCTGTTTGTAGAGAACTCCTGCTCGATCCTACGTACGTTGTGATGATGCAAAACTATGAGGAAAGAAAGCATAAATCAAATATCGCTGTTCTTTACTGCTTTTTCTTTATCTTTCGTTTTTTGGCTAATTTAAGTGTTGTGTTCTAAGATCATAATTGTGATATCCGTAACCTGGGACCCGTTTCTCGAAAGTCCCGGTAACTGCTGGGGCTCGAAAAGCTGTTTATGTTTGCCGCGTTTGCATGCAAGATCAAAGTTTCAATAATTTTGAAAATGATACGAGAAACTATCACTTAATAAAGCAACATTCACTGGTTTGTGAGCTAAGAACTGTGCTACTATTCAACTGGTTTTGATTTTAAAATTTGCCTTCCGGCCCGAAAAGTCTACGGGCCTTTCGAGAAACGGGGCCCTGGGGCCCGATTCTCGAAAGTCCCGGTAACTTTTCGGGCCCGAAATCAAATATTTAAATCGAAATATAAAGAGTAAGAGGGTGGGTCCTGGCTAAGAAACTACTCCGTTTTGTTTCATTAACTGATAGTTTTATCATGTTGGATGCAAAACCATTGAAACCTCGATCTTTAATGTAAATGGTAACAGCTTACCGGGCCCGTTAATTATCGGGACTTTCGAGAAACAGGCCTCAGGCCCCTTGTCAGACAATAAGAAATGTTCAAGGTGCATGAAGCCGGCATACCACCTTCGATTCAACTGTAAGTGAGCAGTGAGAGGTGCATTGCTATTTCAAAACGATTTTTCTGAAAAAAGCTTTTAAGTGGGAGCGCACCAATAATGTTTTTTGAAGGGTTGGGATTTCGATAGCGGGAAAATCCCGCAAGGGAGGAGGCACAGAGAAGGAGGAAGTACATAGATATGTAATGTACATTACAAATAAGGCAGGATTCCACGAATCTTACAAGTAGACTTACCTGAAGGGGGATTTTCGGTGCATTTTTCTCCTGAGGCAACAAGATTTCCAGGGCGTTTGCTCGAAGAGGAGTAGCCATCGTCACACACGCACTGGTAAGAACCCGGCGGAGATGAGCTGCCAATGTATGTGGTGTCACAAAACGAATGCTTGGGACATTCAACTTGAAGCTAGCAGATGTCGGCTATAAATAAGTCATCAAATCGGTCAGCTCTTTGTAATATTTTCAGGCTGTATACATAGAACACGAGCATCACGTGTATAATAAAAACACGTACAAAGTAGATATATCACAAAGATTTTTCCCGAGTGTTACTTTTTAGTAAGGTTTTTGACGTTGAACGTGTTTGGGTCCAGACGGCTTGACAAAACAAAGATATTATAATAGGTTTTGTAAAAGACCTCTTGTCTATACGGAGGCAGTTTCAATTTAAATGATTTGTTTCATTATCCCTGAGGAGCCCACAAGGGAAAAGGATAATATAAGTATTTTACTATCATTATCTTTATTATTATACAACGGAAGTATTTTAAAATCACACTACCTTTCATGCGCAGATCTGTTAACTGGCTGCAGTTGAATAACCTGTTTTTAAATTTCCTCTTTCCTAGAACTAAACTCAAAATTCCAACAAATGCAGTATTACCACTGTTTTTTGGAAGACAAAGACTTAAGTTGTCAAGGTCAACGAGCTCTAAGATGCATTGTATTCTAGCGTAGAACTTTACGGCCTTGTTGTCTTAAGCAGGCTAGTACGAGCCACAGCATTGGCCAATATTTTCAAAGCACCATTCAAGGCTAAGAGCTTGCACATGCAACGCTGAGCTGTCTTGTAGTACAGCCTTTTCTACTGGCTATGCCAGCAGACATTCGTCTAGCTATAAAAGCCTAGACCAACTGTTCAGAGTTCACTTGGGTTCCAGTGTTCGGCAAGGTTTAAGCGCTCGGTATACTATTCTTGTAAAATTTTTCCCTCCCTCCCTCCCTTTGGAGACGAGGTTTGGGCTTTGTTTTGTGCTATGCCATCAAATAAACTAGGGACACTCCTCGCAGTGCGGTTAAGTCTGCGCTTAAGACATTATTGAAAGAAACAAAAACATAAACCAAAGTAATGGATAATGTTAATAATAATAATAATAATAATAATAATAATAAATGTATTTGTAGCCTCACGTCTTTTGACATACTCACCATTGTTGGTTACGTTCACTGCATACTTCATCTTTGCGTATATCTCGCTAACAAATTTCCCATTTAAGTATTCGCCATTTTCTCCTTTCCCACAAGTGGCAGTTGCATTTTTCCCATAGGAGTCGTACATCACCGGTATATACACAGCCACGTTGTTCTTGAGACTCTCCGCTTTCGGGGGCAGGTCGACAATGATGTCTTGCTTCCTTAATTTTACAGTAGAACCTTTTTCCAGTTTCATGACAGCCTTGTGATAATCATATCGAAGAAAAGTTGATTTTTTGAGTTTGCTGTTCGCGTGGGGAATTAAGAACTTGGAATGGGAGAAGATTGTTGTCTCTGAAAAACATACGGCACCATGTGTTACAAGATGTACGCTGCCAATTTCCCTCATGGTACTGGTAAATACCCGCAAATAGAAGAGCGTCTACTCATCAAAAGATCCTATTTAAACTTTACGCAGTACCATACTTTTGACAGTGGTCATGACCCAGGGGTAACTACCATATTAGGGACCTGAAAGCAACAACGACGGCGACGGCTAGGAAACATTATCCGGCTTATTTCATCTCTCTTGGCAAATTTAACCTCTCCTACTTTACCCTTCCGACTTCAGGAAGATCTATCTTTCCTGAATTCGTTATTAACCAACTTAATTAATCACTTAAACAGAGATCTAAGTCCGTTCAGAATACGTAATCTACATCGTTTCATTTAGACCCGATATCACCCGATCCATAGCCAAGGGATTACACAAGTACTTACTGTCCACATAGACTTCCACTTCACAGACCGTTAGTACTGTGGGGTTTGATCCTACTAACCGAATGTAAAGGTATCTTCCGAGCATTTAGACCCGATATCACCCTATCCATAGCCAAGGGATTACACAAGTACTTACCGTCCACATAGACCTCCACTTCACAGAGTGTTAGCACTGTGGGGTTTGATCGTACTAACCGAATGTACACGTATCTTCCGAGCATTGGCTCGGCGCAGCTGTAAAGCCAAGGTTCTTTAGGAACGACAAGACCTTGACGGCATATCGGGTTGAAGGTCGCTTTGATTCTCTTCTGTTACCTAAAACATTAAGACTACCATTTAGAATTTGCTGGGTTCAGCGCTTGATGTCAAACAATCAGCTGCTTGGAGAACGTCAAGCAAAAAAAAATTCCGACGGTGTTTGAGAAATTTAAGCAAAACATTTGCCCCTGAACCGCCGGTAAAATTCCGTGCGGGTCCACGTCCCTTGAAACGATTGTTAAGTCATCAGTTGTTAAACTCTGAACAGTTTTACATCTTTTTAAGAAAATCAAATGATATCGTGACTTTTTAAGAGCGGTTTTCTGTAAGGACCGACTAAGGGTATGCAAGATAGAAAAATCCGATTTTCCCAAACTTTGCCAGAAAGAAGGCCTTGATGAACTGTTTCTGAAAATATAACTTTCGGGTCGTTTGGGGATTTTACTTATTTTCTAGTGAATTTTTTAAATTTTGGCCGTTAACGCCGGTTTTAATCACGCCGAAATATGCACTTTTGCAGAAGCTGCCATTAATACTTTGAAACCTTTCATAAAAAGATTATCCAAGCAAATCAAACTATCGTCTTTTCTCAGATTATCGGTGTCGTCAAATGCAAATAAAATGTAAACGTGAAAATTTGACGGATTTTCTAATTTTACACCTTTCAATGGTGATTACAACAACAGCATTTTGGCTAAATTCAAGGCCTAAAAAAGCGCTCTGGTACATCGCTTTGACCAACAAAACTATACTACGAGGAAACATTATCATTTCAACTAAACATCGATGAAAAAAAAAATTGGGGTAAATGAAACGGCGAGTCCTGAGAGCGTTTTCAAAATGGGTTACCTGGGCCATTTTTGAGCGACCTTTTGAACTTGGAACGGTTCCAAATTAGTGGAAATAGAAACCCAGAGCTCTTTAGCTCTGATTTTCCCTTGCATGATGAAGCCTATTTCCTCATTTCTAGCATATTACTAATTAAGGATACTGGTCTTTTCAATTTGTGGTACTGTATTCCCTAAAAACGAGAATTTGGAAAGTCAAAATATGAGTTTGCTCAGGCGTTTGCCGTTTGTTTACACGTGAATTAGAAATTGATTGTTTTTGTACTTACAACACAAATAGGTGATCAGCTACAAGGTTAGTCAATTCACCAATTGCTTATAAATACTTCCTACCTTACAGATCTTTTCCTGGATCGAAAGCACAGCACTCATTAGAAAAGTACGCAGAGATCATTGAACTCAGGCGCTAACACAATTTGCATAAAAACAATTGACCATGAAACGCCACAGCACACCCAGTCAAGTGTATTCCGGAACCGCAAGTCTCATTATGTTTTTAGCAACACTGGGTGTTTTGTACTATACTGACAAAAGGCATGGGAATATTTCTATAATAGATACTTAAGTGTTAGGATAATTCCTAAATAATCGTACTTACCCTGAATAGTGCTGGGTAAGGTCCATGGGACTCAAGGTAAAAATGACGCGCAGTAATAACGGACCCCGGGGGTGATTTTTGAACTCTCTGTTCTAAACAGGGTATATCATGAACATGTATTTTGCAATTTGTTTCTCCTAAACAGGGTCAGGATTTTAGATCCTCAGCGGCTCACATATACCCTAGTATTGGTCGAGTAACCCCACGGTTACGGACCCACAAACTAAAACAAAACTTGTATGGATCGATTCCTTGCTTTCGTTGCCAGCAAAATCCTGTAAGAATTAAGGGAAAATATAACATCGGGTAGATGAGCGCAGATTTAGGAAGCGCTCGTTAAATTAACAATGTTTCTCTCACATCTGCTCTTAGTCTTATACGATCATAACGCTTCCCGTTAATTCTACGTATAAACATCGTCAGTTTAAGTGATTATAATACGAGTCAAGTTATCGCTTTACTTAGAAGTAGTAATTGTAATAATACAATTATTTTCGAAGAAAACTATAGATTTTAAAATCCGACGACACGGTCCGCGGAGCGATGGGGGAGGTGGAATTGCGCAAAATTAGGAATGCGCAAAAGTATAACGTCACCAGTAGGTACAAGCTTAGAAAGACGTCAGCGTGTAAATAAAAAAAACTGGAACTGAAGCTTTTCTATACGTGATGAATCTGACGAGCTAAAATAAACTAGGTGGGACACTTTTTTTCCAACCATCGCGCAAAACGAGATGCGACCCCTCCTGACAACTGTTATCCAAACTGTTAACAGTAATTTGACTTTTAGGCGTTACAGCCGCACCCCTTTACAAGATCCCCTAACGCGGCAAGGTACTATTCCTTGCGCCTTGGGTTAAATTCTTCCGTGCAGATATCAAAATATGATATGTTCTTCAGCATTGCAATGCTGAGTGTTTTCATGTTACCTTTCTTGGTCAATTCGCAAAGGTTTAGGTTGTCATAAGCGATGGGATGTTCTAGCTGTACTTCCTCTAACACAGTCTGGCGGGTGTCGCAAAACTCTTGTTCATCCTGAGAAGCTTGTAAATCTGAGTCGCTAACCTCTACAGCGTGACGCAACTTGCACGATAATCTTGAAAAGAAAGACTGTATCTGCTGCGAGGTAAGAAACTCATCACTCGAGAACAACCTCGAACCATCTGCTTTTTTTTGCAAAACGCGTATCTCTCGCCACTTTCTCAGGGTTTTGTTTGTGGCCTGTTTGCTGTCCAAGCTCAAATTTTTCCTCCAGGTACTTTCTTTGTGATTCGTTAAACCGTGACGACTTCTTTGCAGTTTTCAACGCCCAACCCTCAGGTAAACTGACACCGTGCTTCTTCTCCGTTTCCCTTCCTTCAAATACTTTTGCAATGCCAATATCGTCCTGAAGGATAGCGTGGTACGTTAATTTAGCCCTGTCCAGCAAAGTCTCTTTCTCCGGAATCAACTTGCATTTGCCAAACGACATATGCCTTTCGAGACTCGAGTATCTCTCGTATACCTTGATGCAACCTTCATTTGGGCAGGAGAACAAGACAGAAGCGTCTTTCGCTTCTTCTACTGTCATCGTTTCATTGGGTCTTGGCTTCTTTGAGGCTTCCTTGGATGCTTTTACAAAGTCACCAGGGGAAAATCAGCAAGTAAATTTGCAGCTTTGCAAGACATCAGCAACTAAAAAAGCGAACATTGAAATGGAAGTCTTTTTTAATTTTAGATGAAACGTTTTTCGCGTCTTTTAAAGGTTTGTTAATTTGTCATGTACACAACTGACTGAGTTGTCCATAGTAGCCATTAGTATAGACTCTCTTACACTGTTAATATTGCCCGTTATCCGTAATTATTAGCTGGCTAAGTCAGTGAGTATTTGCAACACTCCAATACAGTACATTTAAATATCACTATGCCCGTATTTTTTTTTACCTTGAACTTTCGTTTGGCTGATCTCCCTTACATTTCCGACGTTGAAAGCTCTCCAAACTGTCAACTGGTCTTTGCAGTACTCAAAGTTGTTTAACGTGCTGATACCATCAAGTTTGACTTGAGGCAGTTCACAGGCAGAAACGGCAGCATTAACAACAGTAACGCGAACCCCGGTGACACCGCCATTAGACAGGATAGCTGTTTGAAGCTGTTCAGCATCTTGCACGTCGTGGCCCTCATTTACATACCTGCGGACATGGGCCTTGATAGTGGCGGCTTTTTCGGTCACAAGCCCCTTGCCTCCTTGAGGGTCACTGAAATCTACTCTGCAAACGTCTATCCCAGTGTTTGCCTTCATTAGGGTGCATGATGCTATTACAGCAGAACTGTGATAACATCCCGCGTTATCTTGCCGTAGAAAGGCACTGTTGATTCTAGGATTCTCCTCTTTCAGCGACCTTAAGGTGTCCTCAATAATTCGCACTACAACTGAGCTGTCTTGTGATGTATTCTCAACTATGTGGACGAAGGACTGACTTTCTAAAAGCCCTCTCATTTTTTCTTGATGATGACACTTATATGCCACGATATTCCTCGTTTCCCGTACCAATCTGATTGGTTTTCTCTATATTTGAGCCGTAAAAACTTCATAGCCCAATCTTGTGTTACGAGTACAGAGGTCTCATCTAAAGCGCTTAAGCACGCCATCCTTGCTGTATCTTGCCTGACACACCTGAGTTGATATGCTTTCCAGGGGTGGATTGCCTGGACTGCATGACTATGCGTGTACAAGACGTCTTCTAGTTCTTCAGGTACAAACGTTGACTCAGTCAAGAATGTTTTAATTGAAAAAAGAACATTACTGAGACTTTCACACTGTGAACACTGAATGTCATGATTATGAGAGCATTGGGATCTTAGTTCATCGTCCTTACTATCGCTGAGAGCGTATCCGCTGCAGTGGTCTGCAACCGAGGAGGACTCGGATACATGAACCTTCAAAAAAGACAAAGTAGTAAATTTAGTGACCGTTTGAAGTTTCTGAGCTTTCATCTATTGTACCCGCAATATTTTTGCCAAGTTTGGTTAAAGCAATTAGAAAATATGAATCTTGGTAGAATAAAGAACACACCTAGCAAGGCGAAGACGGTCGCCAGTATAGAGAGCGGTGTTCTCTTGCCCAACAATAGTATAATTAGTTTGGAAAAGAACCCACCTGATTTAAATAAGCCCTCACGACAAAGTTAACAGATTTTGCCATTTTGCCAGTCTCGTGGCAGTTCGTTATATATTACGGTTTACTTTCAGTTAACCATGTTTTAAACCGTATCTGATACCTTATAATCAGCCTTCAGATAATGCTTGCCTTCCCTCAGAGACACTTCCCATTTTTTGGCAGTCTCTCTGTCCAGACCTCTCTCTTTAAGTTGGTCCACTATTCCACACAAAGCTTCAAACCCTTTCGCGCGATCCGAAGCAATGTAGTCGAGCCCTTGCAAGGACTTCCTTACGGTCGCCCTGCAGGCAGACAGGACTCTTAACATTGTTGTTGGGCTGAATGGAGTAAAATTCGTCTCCTCGCAATAAGCCTGGTACTGCTTTACTAGCCTGTTAGGGATCATCGCCCTAATGACATTTGGGGTTTCTAATATCTTTCCAGAAGATAGGCGGAGATATCGCTGCCCAAAAGGAAGATCCTGGATGACGTGCGGGCTAGTTATGTAAGTCAAAAAGTGATCCAACTGTTTATTATCTACTCTCATCCTAGGACTTTTTGCTCGGGCTAGCAAGGCACCCCGCCCATATTGAAGAGAGTGCTGTCTCGCCATTTTGAACCGGTATTCGGTGATCCCTGGGATGTAGTTTAGGATACGCTTAAACGTTATTAGGTCTGCCATGATTGATAATATCTGACGCCTTGTTTCCCAAGTAGATGCGTTTTGGTAAGACTCCGCCAGTGCCTTTAGATATTTTCGGTCTTCTTGTCGTTCACCGATGCCAAGTACCTTCTCGACTGAGCCAGATTTTTTCACGGCTTCCCAGAGGTAGCCTGCGTCTCCTGGAACAATAACGTTAAGGCCAGAAACAATAACTGACTTCGCCTTTGACACATGGCTTGCTCTAGTACGTTCGCTGGCTGCCTCCCATCACTTTTTGTGTGACCCGACTGTGTGAGCATTACATGAACGTAAGAAATCGTTCAACAGGAACGTCTTGTTGCTTGACTACTAATTTGTGGATCATCGCCGTTAGAACTCTCGCTGCCGCTGCTCGCTTGAGAGTCCGTTTGATACACGCTAGTGTCGATCTCGGAGTAGTGTCCTGATTCGTCAAGCTGTGGATGAGAGTATTCGTCTCTTATGGTCAGGTGGTGCATTGACTGGCTAACGTTGTCTTCAACTTCTTAAATCTCCACATCTTTTCTCTGTACGCGTTAGAAAGGAAAATGAACTAGTTAGCGCAGAAAAATTTATAAACTCGATGTCGCCGCTGTAGAGCAAATGACTTTTTTAACCGCGTACATATCACCACTGCAATGATATGTAAGTGTTCTCGCATCAATACATGATATAAAGGAGTAGTATGCAGGGAGGCTGGGGTCATCAAAAGTGGAGGGGAAGAAAACTCACCTTTTGCTGAACCTCACTAAACTATTAAAAACCACTCGGACAAGGTTATAATCTGTTATGTTCATGCCATAGCTATACCAAATAGGTCTATCTACCTGTGGGATATTTTGTGATATCCGCTCTTCCGGTTTGTCTACGTTAGATCCTAAAGCTTCTGTGGTCGATTCTGAGCTGGGAAATACTAATAACTGTGATGCTTCTTCCAACTTTCTCCTGCACTGCTTGCAGATTTCTGAAAAAAATAGTGGATTGCAGAACATTACTCAGAAAATCTGTGTCAAACTCTTATAGCTTCTGTTTTTGCTCATGATGCTCTTCGTTTTTGAAATATTGCAGCTATGTGTTGAAACTGTTCGGTAACACGTTTCTTGATTTAAAGATTTTAGGGGGCGGGGGTATATCCGATTATGAATTTAAAATACAAAAAATGGCAGTGGAGGAAATTGAAACTGCCATTTTTTTACGCTCTAAACCTGGCAATGTTGTAATATATCACTACAGGTTTAACACTCACGGGAGCCTACAGGAAGCAACACTTGGGTTTGCTGGTAGAGTAGCTTGGAATTTAGAGATGATATTCCTCTCTCCCCTGACACTAAAGTTCCATGCGATGACCATTCACTGGGAGCAGTGCATATCCTCTTATTTGAACGCCATCTAATGCCAAATTCGTCTTGATGTCTTGGGCATATTGTTAGTTCAAGGTGACTTTCGTTTAACTCAAAAATTCCTTCAAAGATAAAAAAGGTTGTAAGGTGCCTTTTACTTAACAATTTTTAGCGTATATATCGCAGCGTCGTTCACATTTTATTCGCTTCTTCCACGTTTATCGTTAATTTATGCACCAAAAGATAAATCAAAAGCTTTATTTTTAATTTTTCTTTGGACGTCCAGTCATCCCAAAAGCAGTTTTTGTTCCTCACTTTTGTAAAGTTCCTGTGAAACAAACAAGGCTGTAATGCTCGCGATAAATCTGAGATGGTTTATAAATGTAGACAATATTAATAATTTTTTTAAAAATAAACTTCTCATCGCATTGAAGTATTAATGATCAGGAATAAGTTTAAATTTTGCGTGTTTACTGAGAAACACGGAGGCTTTAACTTTTGCATTTTGGCTGAGCTCAGATGTTCTGATATTGATCTTAATTTGATTAAGTCGGCTACTGCACGGGTTAATTATCACTCATATCTTTGTCAATAAAATTCGTTCTTGAATAACACGCTATGTGTTTTAGGAATATGTCTAAAAATATTTTAGCGTTGTAAGTTGCAATCATGGCCCTTAATTAACGGAGTAAAAATTGTATATGAAATGCAGTAAAATGAGAAGTACACGAATCAATCAAAGAAGGTGCTGAGCGTCACGCTTCATTAAGCCTTCCTTTCAAGTCATTTTCCACGTTACCCTTGTAACTAAACCTTGAACATCGTCCAGTTTTATTTAGTGTGTAAATTATGGATAATAATTGAAATCTACAGGCTGCAGACGTACGAAAACTAGTGATGCTTCGATAAATTTGCGGACACCTTTCAAAATATAAAAACAGTCTGAATCAGACCACGATGCAGCTAAATTACATTTAGCTTTAGTCTCACACCGATTCTTCTCGATGTAAAAAGATTGGGAGGCGTTTATTTTCCTTTCTTTAAATTATGCGTCTATTCTTTCTTGTTTTTTTTTTTTAAAGATGGCCTGTTTAATACAGACATCTACCTTACGTACCTGCACGTGCCAACAACAGCTTTAGTTCAGAGTCTAAACTAGCGTCTCTAATGTTGCAAGAACATAGATGCCCTTGTATGGCTTTAGTACACTTCGCGAGGATCACGCTCTTCACATTTTCTGGATTGTCCACACTAGAACCACATGTTCCTCCTGCAATCTGCCCATACTCACACGAAGCCATTTACACAATGATTGAATGAAGTCAATGAATAAACTGCACTGTACAAATTAACAGGTGCAATTAAAGACAAAGAAGTAAGCCAGTGCTGCCTCTTCAGAATGCGGGCTCTTCTCAATTAACGGAGAACAACTCAATAATCCAGGAAAAAAGGTTTTTATTTATCAGTCCAAAAGAAAAAAAAATTGAACTACCAAAGATGCACCGACCTCTCCGCAACCATATCCAATCCTGGGTGTCCTGTGGCATTCAATACTTGGTCATGTTGCACGGTGATATATGCGCTCGGCGATTTTTGTCAGGAACTTCCATGAATGCGGTTCTTTCTATCCAAGAAAGCATCGCTGAGATAAGACATATTAGTCAAGTACCTCGCACATTGATTTACCTCGCATTTGTTGCCGCATTTGTGTTGTATCAATAGACTGGTATTACAGAGTCGGCGGTAGACAAAACTGACATGTCAGAGCAAACTGTCTCTAATTTCCAATTTTACTATTCCAAATTAATTGCATGGCTCAAAATTTAAAAGGCAAGTATTTCTAAGTAAAAACAAACTGGTAGAGCCAAAAAAACGTCATCACGCAAACAAAAGTCAGAGCTCAATGGCGTTTATTTCCATGAATATTAAAGGTCAAAGGTCACTCATAATTGATAAAATGACCTGTTTTCAAATCGCTCTCAGAACTCGCCGTTTCATTTACCCCAATTTTTTTTTTCATCGATGTTTAGTTGAAATGATAATGTTTCCTCGTAGTATAGTTTTGTTGGTCAAAGCGATGTACCAGAGTGCTTTTTTAGGCCTTGAATTTAGCCGAAATACTGTTGTTGTAATCACCATTGAAAGATGTAAAATTAGAAAATCCGTCAAATTTTCACGTTTACATTTTATTTGCATTTGACGACACCGATAATCTGACGAAAGAAGATAGTTTGATTTGCTTGATTAATCTTTTAAAGAAAGGTTTCAAGGTATTAATGGGAGCTTCTGCAAAAGTGCATATTTCGGCGTGATTAAAGCCGGCGTTAACGGCCAAAATTTAAGAAATTCATTAAAAAATAAGTAAAACCCCAAACGACCCGAAAGTTATATTTTTAGAAACAGTTCACCAAGGCCTTCTTTCTGGCAAAGTTTGGGAAAATCGGATTTTTCTATCTTGCATACCCTTAGTCGGTCCTTACAGAAAACCGCTCTTAATAATTTTAATAATTTTTAATTTTATAATCTTTTCAATAGTTCCTTGTGATTATTTACTTGGTTTTTAGTGTTGAAAAATGTTTTGTAGCTTTTTAAGGTGGCTCCGTAATTAATACAAGAGCATTTAGCTGTGACAAATTTTCCGTCATAACTTTTTCGACTTTAACGCGATGGCTGCGAAACTTTGGAAAGAACAACAGATATCAGTCGGCAATAATACGAAATATTACGATTTCACTGATGGTAAATATTTCTTGAGAAATTATCGCTTACAAGGACCCTAATGTTCAAAGAAAATCGCGTCTAGTAAAAAATTTTGCTGATATTTTATACTGAAATTTCTGGTATCGGCTTTAATTGATATAATAAATATGCCAGAGGAATTTCAGAAAAATCGTTGGAGCAGAAGTCCGTAACTAAAAGTCGCTCAAAATTTAGCTGTGAAATTGTTTTTGAATTTCAAAAATAAATTACTATCAGGAAGAAGGAGACACCAGTTTCAATTTTCGGGACAAGTAAAATCAGTGTTTGTTAATTCTGAAAACAGAAGCCGATTGCCAATCGTGTTATTCTTTAAAAGGTACTTTTCACTTTTAGAAGCACTATAAATTGCTCCAAACTTTGCTCTGACCTCGAATGACTTGTTCCTCGACATTTTTAAAATATCCCTTGGCAGTTTTGGTTCAAACTCCTGCTACATGCATTTTGATGTATTGCAATGCATCCTCAACGGCTTTTCCTGCTGTATGTTGTTTCCAATTCAGGAAAAAGGTATTGAGATTGTAAGTTACCTTGTATCGAAGCTCAGATAGAACTGTTCAGCACCTTTGTTTATGACCAGAAAATGAGCACGAGCGGCAGCTCTGCGAGGAATTCGCACCTCAGCCAGGGGGGACGAATGACAATGATGCCCATGTCTGTGAACCGATCTGTATAAACATGTATTGCAGAGCAAAACATAATAATCAAGAAAAAAATACCCATTCATTGAAGAAAGGAGTGACAAAAATTTCAGAGTTGTAAATTTATTCACGGGCAGTATTTTTGCGATAATTTTATTTTGCACTGTGATGTTATTCGGTTCACAGGCATGGTCATCATTGTCGTTTGTCCCCCCTGGGTGAGGTGCGAATTCCTCGCAGAACTGCCGCTCGTGCTCATTTTGTAGTCATAAACAAAGGTGCTGGACAGTTCTATCTGAGCTCTGATACGAGGTAGCGTCCAATCTCAATACTTTTTTTCTGAGTTGGAAGCAACGAACAGCAGTAAAAGTCGCTGAAAATACATTGCAATACATCAAAATGTATGCAGCAGGAGTTTGAGCCAAAACTGCCAAGGGATATTTTAAAACTGTGGAAGAACAAGTAATTCTACTTCAGAGCAAGGTTTGGAGCAATTTATAGTGCTTCTAAAACTAAAAAGTACCTTTTAAAGAATAGCACGATAGGCAATCGGCTTTTGTTTTAAGAATTAGCAAACGTTGAATTTACTTGTCCCGAAAATTCAAACTGGTGGCTCCTTCTACCTGATAGTAATTTATTTTTGAAATTCCAAAACAATTTCACAGCTGAATTTTGAGTGACTTTTAGTTACGGACTTCTGCTCCAACGATTTTTCTGAAATTCCTCTGGCATATTTATTATATCAATTAAAGCCGATACCAGAAATTTCAGTAAAAAATATCAGCAAAATTTTTTACTAAACGCGATTTTCTTTGAACATTAGGGTCCTTTTAAGCGCTAATTTCTCAAGAAATATTTACCATCAATGAAATCGTAATATTTCGTATTATTGCCGAATGATATCTGTTGTTCTTTCCAAAGTTTCGCAGCCATCGCGTTAAAGTCGAAAAAGTTATGACGGAAAATTTGTCACCGCTAAATGCTCTTGTATTAATTACGGAGCCACCTTAATTATATCTTTTTACACTTTTTTCTTTTTACAATTTTTTATTTTCAGGGCCTCTCTGAAAATCACCCTAATGAGAGTCTCCTGGTTAAAAATTACTACTACTCATTAACAGTCAAGGCAAAAACATTGTCATCTAAGTTGCGCTACGGCAGAGGGAGCAAGATCCAGTCCAGGAGACCAGAAAAAATGCGAAAAATTATGAAAAGCTGACCCGATCTTATCCTACGATCTCAAATACTTTCCCACAAAAAAAGCCGGCGAGGAAAGAAAAGCGATAGAAAAGGAGAGAGAGAAGAAAGCGAAAGTTAAAGTCGAGACTGCTGTGTTACTTTTAAGCCCGCCTTCTGAACTCTGGAGGCTGGCATTTTTCATCTGGAAATGAAGGCCGCCAAATGTCGAGTTGTAAACGGCTTTATGGGCAGTTTTAACTCTCTGTAACAAGGCAGCGACCAGGAAACGGCTCGACTAGCCTCCAAACTTCTTTTTGAGCAAAATTCGCAGGGGGCGAATATGATAAAATGCGTTCACGCCTTAATGAGCATGCGCTATAACTTATAATGATCATGCAGACTCATTACAACTCTATATACGACTCAACGGTCAATTAATTCGTGGACTACCTAATGGTCAATTAGAATCTTCAATAGAGAGTATGTGCCTTACCTATGCGAATCTCCAAGTCTGACAACCGTTTGTAACAGCAGTCGTTCCTGTTAGCAATGACAACTTTCTCGACCCAGACCTTGCTTCCTAAGTCCACAAGCCACCAAGGTTCTTTCATTCTTAACGTTCTAGCACAGCTTCCTGCACGCAAATTCCCGTTCCTGTTACCGTCCACAGCTCTGCAGGAAAAAAAATCTCCTTCTGTGGTCCGCATTTCATTTGTCTTTCCAACAGCAATGTTTGTTAACCTCTCAGGTAAGCCTGTGATAAGGTTGTAAAATATAGATTTAGGCAAGGCCAAAAGCGAAGCTCTGGAGGGATGATGCTTTAAAAATGTCTTCCTCCATTATTCAACTTTTGCCGTAAGCAGTGAGCAAACTAAATTTTACCTTTTAAAAATGGACCTGAGCCCGCGATCAATCGAAAACGAAAAAATGGTGAGCGGATAAATTACGCCGCCTCGATGAGTTGTACACCTGAGCTCGCGATGCAGCCACGTGACACTGGTCAGCGGATACCCCTTTTTTGCAGCTGTCAACTGACTAAAACAGGGATGTCCAATACCAAGTTTTCCACAAATAGTATTCAAGTATGCCATTTGGTATCTGCTAACATGAACGGGTGGACGTAAGGACGGACGAACTCAGTACGGACGATTCTCCCAGAACCAAAATTTCTTGGATGCATAGACTACCAAATTTTCTTACCCATGGTGCTCCGCTATAAAGAGTAAGTCATTGCGCCTCGCATACTCCCGCTATATATTCTGGGGTCAGGTTATTGCTTTCAGACTCTAAATTTACCGTTACACCTGTCATGCTCGCAAACGTTCTTGCCTATTAAATTGACCCTTGGCTATTAGAGTTTGTTATACAGCTAGAATTTTTTTTCCAAACAGCGCGAGCTCTCATTGGTTACTTCGAGGACACATGACTTCTAACAATAACACTGTTTCTTTCCAAATTCTTCGAGCGGGCAGCATTGCAATTTCTGTGACGTCAGAGGGTTACAGTGCACTGTTCCCCGCGGATGTTGACCGACAACCGCCGTTACAGCGAGGTTTAATGAGTTTCCAGCTTAATAACAAATCACATAAAGACTAATCCCTCGGTAAACAGTTAATTTTGTTTCCTGAGAATCTCAATGTTTCCCGAGACGGACATTGAGATTCTTGAGAAACAAAATAAAATGTTTCATTCGGGACCAGTCATTCAGTGTTTAATGCTTCCTTGAATAGAATTTATGTGTTGCTAGTAGAATGAAGGGCGATATGCTAATCTGACTTTACGGTAGCCTGGGAAAACAGCCGACATTTCGCGACGCAGCCACTGGTTTCCCTGCGAAAGGACATCTAAGAAACGAGCGTAGAAATTCCATACTGATGACGCGACACTAGCCATATCTGGGTAGTGCCACTGATTGGTTAAAGCCAATTTTCTCGCGACTCGATCAAGCAGAAGCACTTTCCAGATCTGGGTAGTGTCGAAGATGAAACTTGAATGTCTTGCATTGATGCGTAGCTACGTTTGAACAACGTGTATCAGAACATTTTTGGATCTGAGTATGCGTGGCAGGCCTCCGACCATGGAAGTACTTCCTTATATAAGCCATATGGGTTTTTAAAATAACTGACTGAATCCTCGCGCGCTGAATGGTCGAGAGCCATGGTCTATGAGAGTAAAGACCATGGAAATGACGTAACATGTCAGGCAGTGCCGGTTGTTTTCGTTTTGGTTTTTCATAAAAACAATTTTACTCCTCAACATGGACAAAGACGAACCAAATCTCAGCACATGGGGAGACATTTCTGACAGTGAGTTGGTGCCTGAAGCTGCAAAAATACAAAAAAAAAAATACGAAAAACAACAAAAAAAACGTCGCTTCGCGCAGTTTGCGAGAAACTTCGCAGGAAACAAAAAATAAATGTCATTGTAAAAAACAAATCGACCGCCGACAATTTTCCATGGTCCACGCTCTTATAGACCATAGAAATGACACCATAAATTGCTCAAAACTTTGCAGTGAAACCATGACGTCATTTCTATGGTCTATAAGAGTGTAGACCATGTGTTCCATTTCGTAATGGACTTTAATAAATCACTTGTTGTTGCTGTTTTAATCTAAGTGATGATGACATAATTTCGTAAAGGCCAGGTCTGAGAATGGGTATGGAATTTAGAGGCCATGTCTGAAAACGGGTGTGAAAAATGACATTGTTTTGGTCTGAAAAAGGGTCAAGATTTGGAGAACCGCGTAGCACATCCCCGCCAAGAATTCCAAGGAGTACCCCCGCCCCCTAGTCTCCTTCGCAGCCGTTATTAGGGTCGTCACTCGTCACGCAACGCTCCTCCCCACTAAGCGTTGCGTGACGAGTGACGACCCTAATAACGGCTGCGAAGGAGACTACCGCCCCCCGGGCCTTGGAGTTTTTTTGTGGCATAAGAAATGGCAGCGCCATACATCCATTGCATTTTTTTCCGCGATTTTTGTGGGTACATCAAAGGGTTCATGAAAAATTGTTCGTACAATCATCTCCAGTAACTAGAATTAAGGACCAATAGCCGTAAAATGACGCGCAGTAACAACAGCACTTGCGCTGTTTTAAGTCTCTTGAGCGATGGCAAAGGTACAAGCATACATTTAACACCCTAATTTTTTAAGGAAAAAAAACCTTAAAACCAAAAAAATTACCTAGAACAGCGAACATAATGACAAAAGACCAAGGTTAAAAAAATGTATTGCAACAACTATTTACTTGCAGAATACGCTGTAAAACACTCACGTTCGCATAGCACACCGTCCCCAATAAAGCCATCCTGACATTCGCACGTAAAGGAACCAGGAACATTTTGGCATTTTCATGTACGAGCACACTTTCTAGGATCATTGCACTCATTGATATCTGTTAAAATGACAAGAAAAGCCGCCAAGAAACCTTATTTTCTAATATCTCACTTGTCACGTTAGTTTGTTCTTTGTTTACAACAGCCATTTCCCATCAAATCACGTCCGCCATGTTGGTGTCTCAAACCCACCCTGCGAGAATTAAACTCTTTTCTTATGCAAACGCTTTATTTTGTCGCAATATATGCATAGTTACTGGTGACGTAAGTGAAAACGCTCAAAAGAGCGTTTTCACTCACGTGACCAGCATCTATGCAAATTTATTGAAACAAAATAAAGCGTTTGCATAAGAAAAATGTTCAACTCCCACAGGATTTGTCTGGGACTCCAACATGGCCGCCGTTTCATTGTTTTGAAACACCAATATGGCCGCCTTGACGTCATGTGAAAATGCACTATATGTTTGCCCTTTTCTTTTGATTTAAAAACCATATTTTTACACACAACAAGACCAAATCTTAGTTCCTAAATTATTTCTATTTTTGTCTGAATGTATTAGCTTTCCTGTGGTTTTTTTTTTTTTTGGTAAAATATTTAATAGACAATTTTTTGATCGACAAGCAAGTAATGAAATAACCTGAAATAGAGTGAAGATGATGTGAACTACGGAAATACAAAGTGAAATCATAGTTTGAAGAGGGAAGTGTTAACTATGGTTACATGAAGATACGATCGTGGCAGTGGTAATTGCAATTTAACTCGAAATATACTTCTGGACTTCAACGGGAGTCGAACCCATGGCCTCTTCGTTGGCGCTGCAGAGCTCTACCAACTGAGCTATGAAGGTCCATACATTGGGAGCCGTTAAACTTCCAATATTTTATTATAGTGTTGTTGTTGTTGCTTGGTTAATCTCTTACTTGCTGTTGTTGTTTGCTTGCTTTTCGATAAAACTCACCTTCACATTTGTTCCACTTGTTTGGGACATATCCGGTTTCACACTGGCAATAAAACTCTTTTCCGTACTGTGTACATTGACTTTTTGGAGGGCAGACACTTCCATACCATTTACAAAGTTCTTCCACTACGAACACATACAAAAATTAGATCTCATTTCTGTCTTATTCAATATGTCATGGTGATATTGTAGACTTGGCTAGCATGGAATTATAGCTCTGTTTATCGTTTGTTTCTCCGTAGTACCTTCCACTGGAAGGTATCATTTATTGCGGACTTTACCAACATTTTGGTACCATTAAAATATAATGTCTGCAACTGACTGCGATAGTACCAAGAGTTTTGGTGACGCTTCAATAGTTATCCTTAAAACTATGTTTTAATCTTAGCGCAAGAGACTCATAAGTAAAACCTATTTTTCTGGCGAATAGTCGTAACAAATACAGACCCTTCGACTGTTTCATTGTTTTTGTTTTGTTTTTTTTTTACCTTTTGACTGGAATCAGTTAGCGAAAAACCGTCAACACTACTGGATAGAAAGTCTTAAAATCACTAACGTTGTCAAGCTTGAAAGTTATTTGTTGAAAGCTAACGAAGATACAACAACGCGAAGTCGCCTCATTTTACAGACGTTTGTATGGCAGGGGACTCCCAACTGTAAAATTTCGCTACGTTGTGGTGGGGAGTTGTCACCTTTAAAGGGATAGGTTCACGCATGCTCATTAATTAAATTACTTTTTCCAATTAATTATTAATTATATCGGTTAATAATCCCACTCACATGTATCTCAGCGATCTCAGCGCGTACTTCAAAGTAGAAGTGTATTTAAGAGTAACCTGAAGTGGGATGGAGGAGCACTAAAATCGCAGAAAAATTAGTGGATTATGCCAACACTACCAACGCTGAATTTATTGTTGACCCAAAGGTTTTATTCCATGGTTGATTAATTTACAGCTATTTGCACCTTAGTTGATCAAGTGACTGCCAGGGGAGAGTGCAGATTGGTTCTTTGACAACATTATGGCACGAACATATTGCTTTCATAGACGATATAGCATCTACCGGCAGAAAAATAGCATTTTGATTAACGAGCATGCGCTGAACTGTGAACCTGTCCCTTTAAACTTGGTAAGTTCACTAACTTAAGAGCGCTCCTCCTAGCGGTGTGAACGGATATTCGTTTACTCTCCTTTTTCAAAACTTGAAAAACCGGTGTAAGAGTTAATAAGTGTTTTTTAACCGCAAGGCAGGAATATGACTCTGATAGTTGATACGTTATTTCTGACACGAACCCTTAGGATGTCGGCATCCAGTTCTATCAGGATCTCCAGCCAGCTTTCCATTGCACATGCAGATCTCCTGTCCGTGCCAACCTTGCTTAAAAAGTGCTGTCACCAAACACACTGTACCGGGCATTTTGCAACGGCCTTTGCAGTCTCCATATGACTCTACTGGAAATTTAAAAAAAGGTGTGCTATTCAAGGGCATCATTGTATTTTTGCATATGGTATATTTTGTTGTGATATTTTTGACTCTTATACATGTACATATTTTTGTATATTATCCACTAGCTTATATTTTTAGAGGACCGTAACTTAGAAAACTTGTAAAAGCTTATTAAGTCTCCTTCTTTATTGTATTCTATTGTATCATCGTTTTCATAATTAACATCATCCTTTTTCGCCATGGAACTTGAAAAAATACATCCGACTGACAAAATCGCAGCCTTGTGTTTGCGTGACTCAAACAAAAAATTCTTGATCCGAACGGTAGAGACTATTGTATAGGAACAGAAAATTAAAACAAGATCTTACATATGCAGATGCCATCTGAGTTTCCAATTGAAGATTTAGGGCACCGACATGGTCCAGCATTTGATGTGCAGAGTGAGGTATTTCCAGCGGGTTTCACCTCTGTAAAAATGATAATTAAAAGTCACTAGTTTCAATATTCATTTTCAGTGCAATTAATCCTATTTAGATCGCGATTTTGGGGGCTCCTAAGGACCCCGGTGTAGGGCTTCGGAGTTCTCTATCTATAACACTAAAATCACCCAGGATACTAACACCAAAGTGACGCAGAATAATGTATAATGTACCGTAAAATTCCCAAAATAAGCCCCCCCCAAAAAAAAAACCCTCTGTTAAATCGCCCCTCCAAATATAAGCCCCCCGGGTGCTTGTACTTGGAAAATTGCCCTCAAATACAAAGTATAACAAAGCAAAAACGGTAAATTTACTTCCAATTACATGGCTAGCCCAATCGATTTTGAAACGCAAATTTCCCTCCGAATATAAGCCCCTCAAAAAGGGCTTTTGAAAAATGTAAGTCCCGGGGCTTATTCTCGGAATTTTACGGTACCTCATGAGGAATATTATGATTGTAACACTTACCAAAGGTATCGTCTTTATGATTCCCGCCCGCACAGGGCAGCGTCTGATTTCTGTCCCGAGATCACAACTTGGAGGTTAGCTGTTTGGATGTTTGAAAGCAGTTCCCAGGCCCCGCCGCTTAGCACCCGATCAAAACGAATTGAAATGCATGGCCGCCTAAATTTTTTAATTTTGTGAGTGCTAAGAGAGGCTATAACACGTTCTGAAAACATGCTCTAATAGTAAGCTGAGATAAACCTGTATAGAGCTTTCTTAGCGCTCACAGACTAGAACCTGCGAACTCTTTCTTTGAGATTCATTGAGTTTGTATTTTGGGGTGGAAGACACGAAAATCGGTCGCAATTGTGAAGGAAAGTTTTTTACTGTAACAGTAAGTTATTGCGATATAGATGTTGTCAGGGTTCTTTGAAAAATACGTAAATGTCATCTACTGAGAGTTAGCATGTCTCCGGTCCCCGCTTATGCTTTCTGAACGTTCTGGATCTGACTCCTGTTTACCTGTGCAACGCTTCGCGGGATCCCCGATGTAGCCGTCTTTGCATTTGCAAACGACCCGAGTGTTGCGATAATTCCGTGTCATCATGCACATGGAGTGTGGTGATAAGCATCCATTGTTCTCTCTGTTGACGTGTTTATTGCAGGGCCTATATCTACCTAGTTTGAGGGTAAAGAGGTGATAACACACAAAAATAAAAACGTCTGTATTTTAAAGTAGGTAGAAGCAGTTTTGTTCCTTCTGAATTCTGTGATATGAACAACAGAAATGGAGAGCACAGAGCTTTTAAAATAAAAACTTACAAGTTTTAGGGTGAAGATATACCGCTGCAAGATCGAGTGAAAGGGTAAATAGTGTTAAATGATTTTCTGTGAATCTTGAAAGTGGAAAGCTAAAAGTTTTTGGCTTCTTTTTAAAGAAAAAACTGGCAGACAATAATTAGGTCGAATTACGTACTGAAAACATTTTCATAGGTTGTTTAATATTATCACATTTCGTGTTTACTATGAAGTGTCAAATTTGCTTCCAGTCGCCTCGTGTTTAAAACTTTGATTTATCATTTCTGCTCGTTGGATTAAACAGCATCAGTTTAGGGTGCGTCTTCATTCCTCCCCTTGACCATTTGGTCCAATGTCTCCCTCGCTCTCTCACTCAGAGGATGGGTAAAAGAGGGGACCATGTAGTTTTGTACCTTCACAGCTATATTTTCCATCTCCATAATGCCAGCCCTGACAAACACAGAGGTTAAAGAGACACTTTGCCCGTGGATGACGCTGTTTGTCTGAGTCACAGTAATAAAGTTTATCACCTGAAATATTGCCTGCAATGAAAAATAATCGATAAGCATCCTTGAATATGAAGTCAAAGAATCGACCACGTTGTCTAGTGGTAAAGCGTTCGCCCGGTACTCTGAAAGGCCTGAGTTCGAATCCGGGCAGTACTTTTTCTCTTCGCTTCTTTTCTTTTCTTTTCTTCTTTTTTTTTTTCTTTTTCTTTTCATGTAGTTTTCATTTTAGGTACAACAGTTTTGTTAAGTTTCTGTATATAGCTCACAATTTTTGATTAACAAATTTTCTTCTCCACTTTACTTGCCGTTCCCCCCAAGTCCTTCGCGAGGTCCTGCGATTTATGTATTTCTAGTAGTTCGAATCATTATTCGAGTAATATGATTAGATTTTAAAAATCCAGGCCTGGTATTAAGCTTTTTGAATGAGTCCACTTCACGACGGATTGCAACTTTGAATCCCGTCGATACGTCAATTCTAACGTTCTTAACTACGAAAAAAAAATTACTTAGTTGGAGTACCAGTAGCTTATGGTGTTTGCTATTGCTGGTTGAAATATAATGTTAAAAAAAACTCTAACTACGTTAAGGGTTATCCTTACCTCCCGCGACACTCTTAGAGTAGATAACAAGGGAGCAATAGAAGACAACAAGGACAATGATCTTTGGTAGCAAACCCATTCTGGACTAGGGCATTATGTCATTGCGGCAGATTAGGGAAGGTGGTATTAAGTTAAAAATGAACGAAACCGCATCGCATTGCAACAAAGAATTCGGGTTACACGTCACAATTGAGATAATGTTTCGAACGAGAATAATTCGTTGCGCGCGCTCAGTGTCCTAGTAACTTTAATGGACACGGAAAAAAGTTGTAAGAATTGTTTCTTAAAAACTGTTCGAAGTTTTCTTGACAGTATTCAAATTTGATTCCCTAGATAAGTACGTGAGTATGACAACGAATGGGCTTGAAGTGAGCTTTCGGAAGAAAATATTAGATTTATTTTCTATTGTTTCACAATTGAAAATGATGAGTCAACATGAAATTGACAAGCAAGTATGAAAAAGACCGATATATAATAAGCATTTTCAAAGTCATTTTTCAATAAATACTCATCTGTAGATGGCTTCGCTCTTTCTTGAAATTAGGAAACAAAAAACTTAATATCATTTCTCATTTATTTATTCATTCATTAATCTATTTCATTACTTATCATAATTTAAATCTTAAGACTCGTCCTCTCATTAATTCAATGTTATTCCTAGATGATTGTGCTTTTACTTCTAAAAGAACGAAACTTCAAACAACTTGTCCTTGCGAGCTGCGCTTGCGCAACAGGGCGCAGAAAGAAGAGGACGGCAAAACGTTTTTGTGTGACAAACGTAACAGGGATATTACCTGCGTGTTCACTGGGATATTCATTTAACATTTCTGTTTTCTAGTCTCCTTTCAAACAACATTATTGCTACGCTTGTCACACAAGGTTTGCCGTTTTCTTTCCTCTACCCTCGTGTTGCCTGAGTTCATTTAAACAACTTACGTCACAAAAGCATTTTTGCATGTATCTCTGAAGGATAATTCTAATTTAATCCTTTGTTAACGCAAATGATTAACTTCTATGGAGTGAAAGGACTAGGAAAAAGGCGGGTCAGTCATCAGCGCTAAAAGCGACACCTTCGCTGTGTCGAAAGCGATAGGTGGACCATTGCCCACTAAAACAAAGAGAATGCAGAAAAGGGCAGTAGTTGGAATTGTGTTCCTTGTACTGACTGGACTTCTTCAAATAACAAATGGTAATATATGCTTAGCAACGCGATCAAATCAAAAGATGTCCCTTTAAATTTTCAGAAATCTCATAGACGTTAATTCAGGTCACCCTATAATGAGAAATCAGCTTCAAATCGAAAGCAAGCAAATTCCGGGAACTTGGGCACTTGCTAAACAAAAGAAAATCTGAAACCTTTCTTATTTATTGATTAATTATTTTACTTTATTTCTTTAGGAAAGGAAAAGAAGAAGTGTAATTCAGACAGGGATTGTGGGTCAAAGAAAGTTTGTCAAAGTAAAAGATGCGAATGCAGAAAGGGTTATATTGGTGATGGCATCTTTTGCGAAGGTTAGTTGTAAGGGTTCATTACCTTCTAAAGAACAGAAAAAAAGGGAGAGGCCAACCTTGTCTGATTATATATCCGTACTTGCTTGATTCAGTGTATCTGCATGGAAAAACAACTTCATCTTAAATAAAGATGGTGAATAATTTTTTGTTATGGCTTCGATATTGCAAGAAAAATGAAAGCACTGTCTCAACAGACTCGCTAAAATTACGTAAATTTTTAACAAGAGAAAAATTGATAGCTTCAAATGTTAAAAAAGATAGTTAAAAATTAACAATACCACAGCTCATTTCGTTCTACACATTTAAGATTTTTTAAGATTTTTTTCCTGGTATTTATTTTCACGGCAGTCTTATTTCCAAGCAGCCCAAAAGTAAAAGTTTCTTGAAGCCAGAAAAAAACATTCATAACAAAGTTTATGCAGAAAATTTTTACGTCACTTGATAGAATGTAGTTCTTCAGAGCACATCGCTTCATGTAACGAAATCGAAGATAGCCTTGGATTCTGGTTTCGACGCCTGGATTCCAGATTTCAGGAACTGGATTCCAGTCTTTATAAGTGGAATATTGGATTCTGGATTCCAATCGATAGTGGGATTCCGAATTCTACAAACAAAGATTCCCGAATTCTGGAACCTGGATTCCCTTACAAAGGGCGAAGGCTTAGGCGTTCAGATAGTATAGCGCGGCGGCCAGATGATTACCCTGGGTGCCAGAGACTTTTCTAGTGTGGTTTCCGGTTTCTGTCAGGTCTTTATAGTGAGCCGCTTCGCCGCTCGTGGCTTCGACCTTCGGCAAACACCGAAAATTCCGGCCGCACGCGAGAAAAACCTCTCGTACCGATGGTACCAGATGATGGGGATCGAGTTAAATTGTACACCGGGAAAACGGTGGGGGGGAGGACCCGGGGGGCGAGAGCGAATCCCCTCCCTGCCCTTTTCCAATTCTCCCCTCAATTTTTTTCTTCGTGAATTTTTCTCCGGCGCTCTACTATCTGAACGCCTGCAACAGGTTACGCGAGGGAGCGAGTGGAATGCAAGAGAAGACGCTGTTGATTGAGTCTTGAAAAGACGCTAGACGAAATACCGGGTACGACATTTTGCGGCAAACTCGGGTTCGACTTGCGCGTACTTTGGACGAAATGGCACAAATGTCTCTAGAACGGGAAATAAACGAAGTGTTATAAAGATCAGTCTTGAAAATATATATCCTTTCGGGCCCTAACACAGAGTTGAACTGAAGCCTCTTGTGTTTTCTTCTCAGAATTACCCGTCAATATGATAAACGTAGCAAAGAACAGACCCGCAGTTCAAAGTTCTACAGAGTGGGGGCATGAAGCTAAGCGTGCAGTGGACAGTAGCAGCCATGGTCATGATGTGTCAAGCTGCTCTAAAACGCAAAAAAGCACTAGACCATGGTGGAGGGTTGACTTAGGAGAAAGCGTTTGGGTGGAGAAAGTTCTTATAGCCAACACAAGAAAAGACTATGATTACCAAGAGTTGTCGAACGTCAACATTAGAATAGGTATGTTAGTAACCATTGGTTCACGTTTTGTCCATAATTATGTTTGAAATTACTGAGTGCTATATGTATAGTAACGCCGGCCGCTATAAAGTATAATGATGTAATGACGTTAAATGATGCACGTCACATTGATGACCGCTGGCCGTTTTATGGGTTTTATGCAAACGGTTTTCTCTATATATACATAAAACGGCCATAAATCAGCGCGTGGACTACACAGGAGAGACGTAACCCAGATTTTAAATAAGGCAGGCTGTTTTTATTAAAATCCTTTCATTTTCGTAGGTTACAGAAACGATCGGTTTTTTCCCATAAAAAAATCCTTATATTTCCGTTGTATTTCGAATGTTACGCAACAGCGCCGATGCTCATATCTCGAGCTTGGTCTACCTGTGATCATGACCACATACGCATATGATGACAGAACTGTAATAATGCACACAAAAGGTTTAAGATTTTCAGTGTTTGCATGTCGTGAATGCTTAAAAGCACTTTCGTCTATTCTTGCGAATTAAAAGTTAGTATACAGTAGTCTACGAGCAAGCTCTCCGATTATGGCCAGCGAAGCGAACCGCGAAAGAACACGCGAGTGAGCGGCGAAGCCGCGAGGAGCCAAGGAAACCTCCCACTCGCGTTTCCTTTCGTGTAGGGTTCTTGCGTGGCTTCTGGCGACTCCCCCAAATAGAGAGCTTGCTCGCAGGTCAAGTTCAGACGTGTAAACCAACAAAAGATTATGTAACACACTCCTCAACGTTGCTTGAAAAGAATGCTGATGAAGGAACTCCAAAAATTAATGAATTAAAAAATGTAGTGTGCGTAACCCAGATGATTTTTTCCATCTGTGCTTTACAATAGGTAATAACAAGGACTCTGATCGAGTCACGAACCGATTGTGTCGGCAAGGACTTAAGATCCCCAAGGAACCATGGCTGTACAACTGCCCTGAGCCCATGCTCGGCAGATACGTGCATATTCGCCTTGAGAAAAGAGGGGTGTTGACCCTGTGCGAGGTGGAGGTCTTTGTAAACGGTAAGTAAACATGTGATTAAGCACCCAACGTCAACTTTCGGAAAATATCTGTTCGGAAGATGATTTGAGATCTAGAATTTTCCGAACATTTGTTGTAAAATTTCTTGCTTGCCTGCTTCTCCTAGGATTTTCGAACATCTAAAAAATGGTATAATTTCTCATTTTTAACGGATTTTTACCATAAAAGGTCACCTATAATTTTCGGGAGCCTTTTTTCTGGCTGAATTTTCGAAAAGATAAGTTTTGATCCCTATAATTTTCGGATCACCAGACTTTCAGCTAGGAAATCCGAACAGATGGAAAATTTATAGGAGATAAAAGTATGGCTCTATCTACCGTTGAAATACTAAAATACGTTTAACAATGCAATGTTTAAGTTGTTTTGAACTATATTCTCGTTGGGTGCCCCTGATTAAGTAAATTACAAATACCTCGCATAATCGAGGCACAACTTATTGCACTCTCTCGATTGCGAATGAGACAAAAAGATGAAAATTTGCCTATTTGTGGACAACTTTCTTTAGCACTGATCGATAATAAGGACATTAAGATCCATCAACAGCTAGCGACAGCAACAAGAACGTCAAAACAGCAAAAGGTTTAAGAAGCAAAGTAACGACTTTGTACGTGCAGCACACTTTTTTGTACATTTCCAAGCATTAACAAAAACCAGATCGGATCAGACTGGCAATTTGCCATAAATTCCCGTTTGTTTTCATAGAGGACCGTGAAGACGACTCCTTTTTAATTAAAATAATGTACGTTAAATTTCATTCTCATATTAACCCTAAACCGCCTCCTCTAAAGAAGAACCATTTCATTTAGGCTCAGTGAATAACGAGACCACTACACAACAGAGTAGAAATAACAAAGCCTATGCTACAAGATACTTGCTTCTCTCTCTGCCATCTACGATAAGGGCGAAGTCATGTGACCACGCCTCTTTTTGAAATTTGATCTTACGAAGTTGTGCAACATAAAATTCTCAGTGCAGTTAAGTACAAAATTCTGTTAATGTTTATATGGGGAGGTTCTGCCCCGAGGTCCAACCCCTCACCCTTTTATATGCCATTTTTCACCAAAATGGTACCCTCCTTTCACATACCTTGTTTCGAACTTTGCATCTCTTTTACTGCTGTAAATCAGCACTGTCTTTTAAATAGGAGTCAGCCTGCAGTGCAGGCATATTTTGGGTAGGTAAAAGTTGCTTGTTTATGTTCGCACTGTTATAACAACCATCTTTGATGTTATGACAGAAGGAAGATTAGGGAGAGTAAATATAGTAACCCTATTAGGGTAGGTGCTAGGGTGAAAGAAGGAAAAGGGGGGAGGGGGAGGGGGAGGGGGAGGGGAGAAAAAAATACTCTCTCTTTTCTCTTCTCTCTCCCCGCCCCCCTACCCCGCTCCTTTTGACTCGCCCCATTTTCTCCTCTCTTTTCAAGTTTCAAAATGGTGCTTTCGCAAGCAAAACATTTGCCCACTTGAAGAAAACGCCTGCACTGCAGGCTAAATAGGAATCAATCAGAATCAATCACAAGAATAGACAATTTCTTGACTTTTTAAAGCCATGATTTTCATCTGCTAGCCCTTTTGGGCCCTTTTACAGGCCCAAATGACAGATTTCCCTACACTTTTATACACTTCATCTTGTGAAATCCCTACCCTTTCTCATACCTGAAGCCTGAAAAAGGTACCCCTTCCCGGCGCAGCCTCCCCATATAGGCCACGATAGGGAGTACCCACCCCCTCCCCAGGCACAAACGCGCCGAGTAACCCATTTTACAGTTACAGAGTTACAGTTACAGAGTTAAAGTTGGAAACGAGGCTGGAGTTGACCTTGTTTTGATACAACCCTTCTTGCTTTATTGTGCACATCATGTTGTTGTTTATGCCAACTAATAATTTTTAAGCAAAATTTCCATTAGAAAAGGAAGGAGGTTTGTATCAAAACAAGGTCAACCTCAGCCTCACGTTCACTCAAAGGCTATGATAACAAGCCCACAACTGTAAAATAGCCTATTCAGTTTTAAAATCTAGACGGTTATCTTAATTCCAACAGATAAGTGAAATTTATCTTACCTTGCTTGAACTATTTGTCCTTCCCGAATCAGAACAACAGATCATTTCCAAGGCCCTTGTAGCATTACTGAGTTTCCTCGTGCTTCCTAAACGACTTTCAATATTTATCTGCTATAAAATTCCACCAAGTTTCGTGATAGCCTCGATTAGCCGGAGCATAGTGAATTTCTGTCCCTTATCCTGCAGGCAGAGGTTTCTCTCTTGCATAGCTTTTAGCGTTTACGAAGTTGTTTGCGTGGCTTGTCTATCTTGTGGTTAGTTTGTTTACGCGCCGTGAGAAACGACGAACTCGCAACTTGCAGTTAGCCGCCATATTGGAAGTGTTCAGTCTGTGTTCAGCTTACATGAGACGTTTGAATTTCATTTAAAAGTCCGCTGTACGGCTTGGATAGAGATTTCGAACCTTTTCGCGCGGGACTGAGTTAAGCTATCGATAGTAATTGCAGGGGCGGATCCAGGATTTTTTTTAGGAGGAGGTGCACTCGTCTCTTGCTCTACTTCAACACCAATAAACCACATAGTTTTCTCTTTTTTTTGCAGAATACCAGTTGTATTAGAAAACCACAGGTCATCTCAGGGGGGGAGGGTGCGCACCCCCTGCACCCTCCCCCTAGATCCGCCCCTGAACTGAGCTTTTTCTTCCTTAAAACTTTAATTTTTTTATTCAAGTACACGTGAGTAAAATAATAAATAATAGAAAAATAATAAGCTCTGTGGTTTTTAACTAATTTTAAGATGGAAAAAGAAACAAATCGAAACATGGCGTCAGCCGGCACTCCTAGCGGTGTCGAGGCTCTCTGCTCTGTATGAAATTCCTCGTGCGTATCAACGGTCTCTATACGGAATTTCTTTCAGCTAATCAGTCTTCTAAAAAAATTGTTTCTGCAAGAAGGCACTAGAATGAGTAAAGAAATGAGGTGTTTGATTGAAAGACATTATAGATGTTATAGTAGAATCCCGATAATTCGAGTTCCCCGCTAAGTCTCATTTCCGTCCCTATGTCGACCTATGGATTTTCACCCCACGTTTCAGCCATTTTTACTCGGTTAACTCGAACTACACGAATTCCTCGCAAACTCGAACTAAATCGTTTTCCTTGATCAAAATGTCACTGAAATTTACCCCGATTACTACTTCTGTTTCTTGTAACCTCACTCGGATGCCATTAGCTCCTCGTGTTGTATAATCTGTAAAACCACCAACACTATAACACTACAGTACAGCAACTTTTGATTCGTTCAGTGAACAGATCATGTCAGTTTATAATCGACCTGCTTTTCGTTAACCCTTCAGAGTTCAATTAAAGGTAGTTTTACTGTAGTCAACACCATGGTAAAGCGCTTTTGAGCTACTTCTGTATTCATTAATCAATTGAAAAATGGTATCCTTAGTGCATGTATTGAACCATTGCCGATAGTAGGTAGTGTATGTTGTGTATTTGTAGTAGTTCTTTATTGATATAGATGTGGTAGTGTACATGTTATATTATTTTTAAGAAAAATCATTAAGATAATTGCCTATGGTATCCAAATTGGTATCCAAAAACAGGCTAAGATAAAACAATGAAATGAATAAGGCTATCTACCGCATCTTTATTTCCTAGGGGATGCCCAAAATAAGGATTGGAAATACCTCCTTTCCTATGGCAATGATATGTTGAGAGGGCGCTTTTTGAGATTTGACAAGGAATCCGTTGTTGTGGATGCATCACCGAAAGGCAATTTCAGGGGTAAAAGAAAAGATTTGATCATTGATAGGCCGCCGCGAAAAGAACTCCTCCTTCCTAACTACGAAGTCATGATGCCGCTGGATCACGCATTTGACAACGAGGGGAAATTCCAATCTTACTGCAGGCCGTCAAAAAGAATCACGGAGGACTACTTTATCAACGCTACGGTCATTAACAGCCGAGGAGACAGCTATTCGGTTAAAGCAGTTTACGTATGTAAGTAAAAGTATCAAATGAGTTATATTTTCCCTATCCCTAACAACGGGCAATTTTACAGTTGTGTGCTTAGTGCCCTGGCCTTTGAATAGAAACGAGGCTGGTGGTGAACTTTATATCGAGTTTTGACAGAGGACTACTTCATCAACGCCAAGGTCATTAGCAGCCTAGGAGATAGCTATTTGGTGAGGGAAGAAAATAGCAAATAATGTCCTTACCAACTTTTAAGTTGCATTTGTTGTATAGGGGTAGCCTATCCAGAAATAATCAGCTTACAATTATTTACTTATTTTACAGCAAATGTCGGCGTGGATAGAAAGCCAATTCAGAGAACATTTAACTGCAACATAAAAGACCTTCGTTTGAGAGGTATGTTTATCGCCCATGTGTTTTTTCTTCACTTGTTTCTGTTGTTGTAGTTTTCTTTTATAATTTTTTTTTTAACGGACCTATTAAGAAAGTAAAATCAGCTACAGTAACGCATGCAAGTTAGAAGAAGTAATTTTTAAAGAGTGACACTGATTTCTTTTACATCTCTGCCTAGTTTTTCACGAGGATTGCGAGTGCACAACTTTTTAAAAATCTTAAAATTTCCTATTGTCAGCAAGAAAAAAGTCAGTCTCTTTCAATAATCGCAGAAATTATTTCCCAGAAAAAAGCGATCTGTAAAATTAAACACCCACAAAAATGTCCTTCCACAATATTTGTGAGATATTAGGTAACCTGGTACTCCCTGAACAAAATTTCGTCCCAGTTTTCCGACATGCCAATAAATAATTTATCTATGTATCTCTATAATATATTTTTTTGTTCTGCTGCAGCAAGCGTTTGTAAGCTGGACGTGCCTTGCCCTCAATTCTCGCAGTGTAACACTTCATTTATCAGCCCTGCTTTTGTACCGGCTTCGTATTACTGCAAGTGCGACGCGGGTTATGAACCGTCTGTGAAACGCCCAGGAAATTTAATCCTTCCAAGAGAGAAGTGCGTAAAGCAGAAGGAACCAGGCGAGTGACCTTACACTGTTCACAGTTGCAATGCCATTAACTTTGAATTTCAAAAAATACTATATTTAGCAAAGTGGATCCTTCTCTTCTTTTGGCTCCCTGCTATTAATTTTTCTTTTTAAAGAAAAAACAAGGGTTTTTTTCATTTGTTGTTGCTTGTATTGAAGCATATACAGCTGATTAGTGGCGTTCATGACTTTAAGGCCATATGTTTACGGTAGGAATGAAGAAGCTTGGATGTACTTAACTGATGCTACTTGGCTTTGTTTATTCAAAATTTAGAGCCCTTTATAAGTCACAGCAGACAAAACCTGGCGCTGGGCATGAAAACCTTTGCATCATCTACGGATGACTATCACCACTGTAAGGACAAGCACTGTAAGAAGGCTCCTGCATGCAGCCAGCTTGTGGTGGATGGCAATTTCCAATCATGTTTTCTTTCCCTGACCGAGTACCGGCCTTGGCTGACTGTATACCTAAACGGCCTCCACCCAATAGCACTAGTCACGGTTGTTCCTGGAGACTCTATTCACGAGCCATTGATAGTATATGCAGGTAACACTTACTTCTCACTCAGGGAAACATCTTGGCATGGGTTAGGGGTACGTTGGTGAGCAGTTTCTCAGAAACCTAAACTACTCCAAATACTTCATTATACTGTTTCATTTCGTCTCGGGTTTGCATAACTGTCTCGAATTGTCTCGAATTGCTTTTTTAGAAAAATACTGTTACTTTGTCGTTTACAAGCAATTTATTTGTAAACGTTAAGTTTCACAGTGCATAAGAAAATGTACCGAATTTACGCGAATTAGCGCTGCGGCGCTTATTAACTTTTTTCTCCAAAAATGCGGCGCTTACTTGAGAGCGGTGCTTAATACCATAGTAATACCGCTTAGAACCGTATTTACACTAAGTAATTACTGTAATTGGCAACTTAAGAGTTTATTACATTTAGGGCAAATTGTTATTACATTTAGGACTTTATTACATTTAGGACAAAATGTTATTACATTTGGACTTTATTACATTTAGAGTCGTTTATTACATTTAGGCCTTCTACAACACTTACTTCTCACTTAGAGAAACTTGTTGGCTTAGGTGAGGGGTAGGTGGGCAGTTTCTCAGAAACCTAAACTAATCCGAATACTTCATTATACTGTTTCAGCTCTGTTTCGCTCATTTAAAAAGATTTTACTCTGTTGCAATGATATTGCTGGGCAACAGACTCTAAGCTTCAGTAGACGATGGTCTAGAAATACAACGTTTCTTGAATCGGTCATGCGGTAGAACATGTCATGTTCACTGATTGTAGTAGCTGAAATTTCAAAGCTCTCAATTCTTTCACGAAATCACGCAAAACTTGATATTGCCATTTAATACAACTGATTTGTCACTGCTTCAAGAAAACCGTCAGCCCTTAGATATAACAATTTTCAATGTTCAACATACAGTATACTTAAGAATTGCCGAATTATGGTCCGCTTTAAGGTAAGATAGAATTTTCGATCCAAGATTTGTATCACAGGTACGTATAAAAGTATGTTCGAGTTCACAATTCCTAAATAAACAAGGCATAATTAAGCTAAAGAGACTGGCTGCTAATGATTTGTGCTTTTAGGGTCCCCTCATTGTTCCAACTTCCCCCCTATCCCCATTTTTTTTTTAAAATTTACGTTACTTTATTTCAACTGAGAAGGAAATCTCCACTGTCTTTCCTTCCAGTCCCGCCGCCCCCCTCCCCCTCCCGCCCACTTCATTTTTAATCTCTTCTACCGCGCGCCCTGCATTATATTAAACTTGGCTTCATATTTTTATCTGCAAAGGATTGAAAGGTAGATTTACAAGATGTGAAACTCTCAGGACAGAGGTACGTGTATGGAGCGTTGAGTGCAGAAATGGAGATGAGCCTTATATGTGGGGTGACGCAGTACAGATACAGATAAAGGAGACCAAAGCCAGAGCTCTCTCCATCTGCGAAGTTGAAGTTTACGCCGAGACCTATGGTAAGGATGATGACTTAAGGCTCTTGCACGTCATGTTAAAAAAACATCTAACAACAGTCTATCAGATTTATATCGACATTCAAGAGGAGGAGATGACTGTTTTGTGAACGGACTTTTTACGCGTTGCGCCCTGTTAGCAGCGTTTTCTCTCTTTTAGCGTCTACGAAGTCGTTCACGTGGCTTGTCTGTCGCGTGGTTGGTTCGCAACTTCGCCAAAGACAAGCCATGCGAACGACTTTGTCAACGCTAAAAGCCATGGAAGAGAGAAACATTTGATCGCAGGGTATCGGAAAGTTTGCATATATGTGTTGGCGATTCTGAAAGCTATAACATTTGGGATCTCGGTCCCTGTTAGTTCAACAGTGCTGTTTAGGTTTTGAGTGAAACGCCAGATGAATTGCATTGCCTGGTACTTCAAGTCATGGGGGTCAATGGGAGATGGCTTAATATCATATCCCATTCTCGCAAAAATATCATGATTTACTGAAACCAGACACTGTTTTCAAGATAGCAGGCAGGTTGGCAGCATATATAACATAGCTCGAAAAGCGAGGTGAGGTGAGGTGAACAGACTCCAGGGGGTTGAGCGGTCACTACCCTGCTATCAGAGGCCTCTTTTCAATAGCTGCAATGAAAAGAGGACTCTGATAGCAGGGAAAGCGGTGACCGACATTCCCCTTTCCGTCTGCTTGCACTCTTTAGCCTTCTCGTCGTCCTATGCCACACAAAAGAGCCTCACCACAGGAAATAATTTGAAAGTATTCAAAAAGAAAGAATTTTCATAGATGATTATAGTCAGCCATCTTTGTAAGTCGCAGGAGTGACCTCAAATTCTTGTTTTGACTTCTCCACTTCCATGTAGCTATAAGTAGGTTTAATACCCGAAAAACGGAGCGACGATAAGGGGAAGGGGAGAGTTATAATAAGTGCTCTATGGGCCTCAGGTTGAGGCTCTCTCCCTTCCTTTAGTATTAAAAACAGCTTAAAAGAGCCTGCTTTAGCTTCGGAGTGTTGACGTGTAAGAATTTTCCATAAAGGAGCTTTTCACCTTTTATGCAGGAAATATCGCCTTGAAGCGCACCACACGAGACTCTGGAAATTCTCTCGACGTTTCTCCAACAGTCGATGGAATTCTATTCGGAAAGTGCCTCTCCGACACAAAGAAACCTTTCTGGAATGTACAATTTGGTGACAAAGTGCGGGTTGCTGTAGTGTTTGTGCTACATTCAGAAAAATCATATGAAAACAAGAAAGGCCTCGAAATTCAAGTTGAAGTTGGAAACCCAAATGCAGGTGAGAGGTCCATTTTGCCACCTCGACATCCTCAACCTTTTCTTAGCTTTTAGAAAAACAGTTTTAAAACAGGACCTATTTCCTCTTTTGGGAAGCAAGAGTGGCGCAGTGGTGAGAGCATTCGCCTCCCACCAATGCGACCTGGGTTCGAATCCTGGCGTTGAGGCCATATGTGGGTTGAGTTTGTTGTTGGTTCTCTCCCTTGCTCCGAGACGTTTTTCTTCGGGTACTCCGGTTTCCCCTCTCTTTAAAAACCAACACTTTCAAATTCCAATTCCATCTGGAACGCAAGGACACATTTCAACGAGTTTTTTTTAGTTCTTCGGAACTCCTAAGTATTCCGTGGGTAAACAAACTACAAGTTCAATTTTTTAAGTAGCTGCTTATTTAAAAAGCATAAAAATGAAAGTGCTTCAATGAATATAATTTTTCTATTCTCGTAACATCCAAATCAGTGATTCGGCTCTTTCTTGATCCCATCGGCAAAATCTGAGTTCTGCACTCATATGTTATGTTAAGTTCTTGATTTTGTATTGACAATATATAATCATTGACGCCAGCATGACAGACGTCAATAATTGTATAATACCCGCATCTTCCAAATTTCTTCAGCGCCTGCTATTCTAAAATGAATAATCAGCTCGAGGATTACAGCCAAACAGAAACGGCGAAATATTTTGGATGATTAATAAATATTATTATAAAATCAATAAACATAATTGCCCATATCGTCCTTACGATCAACACTAATGCAATTAACTCTTCCAGGCTTGATGGAGCATGTGCTCTTCATTTGCTACAAACATCACCTGACTACCTCGACGTCAGCGTTATCTAAAAGTTTTCGTTTTTGTTTCCACATAAAAATACCAGAACAAGATGACGTCATCAAATTTTATCTTTTATATGTCTCAAGAGCATTATCTTTTTTAGCTTGCTCTGTACGCTGTAACAGCTTTAAATTTTCTGATTACAGCGCTGAATTTCAGAAGATGCACGATTACTTCCAAGTACTCTGGCAAAGCAAAATATTTCAAATGCGCAAACCCGCTGAGGGGAATTGCAGTGTATATAGAGATGCGAGATCAAAACACACCGGAAACACTTCAACTCTGTGAGGTGGAGGTATTCCAAACGACCACAAGTGAGTAGCAGCAGAGTGAAGACATGTATTCCACATTTAAGGTCCAACACGAACGAGGCACAGATCATGAATTTTTTATACCTTGCGAAAAAAATGGCGAGCTCATGCGATCAGTGCATGGCTTTTCAAATTTGACCATAGCGCATCCGTCCATTCACATGATAACCAAAATTCTGGGATCATCTTTTTTCTTTCTTGAAGGAGATTTCACCTCCGCCCCCATAGGTTTTTCCCGATTTTTTTTCAGTCTTTTTTTTTTCAGCCAAGCTTTATCTTTGAGTATCTAGTAAATTTTTTTTCCGTCAGAGTGTGACCTATTTTAGGAAACCTTAACCACGCTCAGTTGCTATGGTGAAAGATATGACGTTAAAAGTAACAAGAGATCGAACCATTGTTGAGCAAATATACGAATTAACAAAGTACCAAATGCAGAAAAATGTTCAATACTACCGTATACCCCTATGACTAAGATTCAATACCATCTGCTTAAGTCTGACAGTCAAGATGGCGTCTAGGATGTCGGCCACTTTGAATGATAAGGGCGCCCGGAAGCGCCACATTCCATTATAGTTCGGATGATACTCAACGTCTTAGCTTGCAAAATATCATGAATTTTCAAAAAGAAAAAGAATAATATGGGGATCTAACCACTTTCCACGCAATATTTTACCTTATTTAGGAATATAGCAACTTTGTACATTTAAGAGTAAATAATAACTACAGACATCCCGGCTGTGTTAATTCCATTTTTAGTTAACGTTGCTGCCGGACGTCCAGAGAAAAGTACGAACAGCCCAACTGTCAAACCTGGACTTGGCTGTGATCAAAAGATTGGTGAGTGTAACCAAGAGACCATTATGGTTTAAAGAAACCCTTTTTATACCAGAAAGCAAAATTAGCAATTACAGTAAATGAGGCTGAGTTTATATTGAGTTGTTTAGTTAGCATATTTATCATTAAGGTGTTAAAACTGGCTATGTTTTGAGAACATTTAAATCGACATTCATAATGCTGTTCTTGCTATGTGTTTAGGCTGTAGTCCGTCTTCACAAATGGGGTATCATTTTCCGCTATATTCTATAGCTCCACCAAAGCAATGCTCTAATCTTCGTTCCTAAGACTTCTGGGTGGTCGTCTCCTTTTCTAGCGTCTATCCTGTAGTATTGACGTCACATTAAAAGATATCACAAACGTCATGCGAATTCGGTCAACTCTAACAGGTAATGAAATACTAGCTGGAGGATTTGCGCCAATCAGAATTGGGGAAATATTTTCAATGAATAGCCTTGGCGTTCGCCTGAAGTGATGCTATTTAATGAAATTTTATTCTTTTCCCAGATAAACCATTCGTAACAAACACTAATCTGTACCCGTGGTGGAGTGTTGACTTACTAACTAAAGTTGAGGTTCATGTAATACGCATCATTACCGCGGTTGGTTACAGACCAGATGACTTGAAGGGACTAGCGATTACTATTGGTAAGGCAATATTAGCCTACGAGCAAGCTCTCCTATTTAGGCAAGCGAAGTGAGCCTCGCGAGAACGAGCGAAAATAGGAGAGCTTGCTAGCAGGCTAAGGCAATATATGTTGTAAGACCTACTAGAAAGAGACAAAAAGCACTGTTAAACAGAACTGGCCATTAAGAATCAACTTACTAAATGATTTCAACAAACAGTGTCAGACAAAAGTAACGACGAAGAGCATTTTCAAGGTATAAGAAAAAACAATATTCGCTGCCAAAAGGTGTCACCGAAGTCAAACGCTGGATGCGTCTCTCTTTTATATTTAGTGTGTGTGTGTCGGGAGGGGTGTTCTTTTATTTTCTTCATTTTTTACTTTCTTAAGTAAAATGACAGTTAGAGATGTATGATATTGTAACTGTCTTACATCTTTTTTTCAAAATGTTATTGTTAATGTTTCACGTTCAAGTCGGATGGGTGAGCAGACGATAAAACGTATGGAAGTTTTTCTTGCATAGATATACTTTTTTAATGTTTGATCTCGCTTGGGGAATCTAATCTGTCCTTCCCTTTTTTGATCGTATTTTCACTAAATTTATTTTTCTATCTAGATAACAACCCGAGAATATTTCTTAAGCATCCTACAGCCGACCGAGTCCAAAACATTTCCTTCGCCAAGCCAATTGAGGGAAAAATTGTTACTCTGAGTCCTGGTGGAGAGCTTGTTTCATGGAAGCAATTAAGATTCCTTGAAGTTGAAGTGTACAATGGACCTCTCATTGGTAAACAAAGTCATTTATACTTCCCTTTCTGGTTCGTTGCCTGTATTTACTGTAAACGTAAATAGCGCTGTGGTGACCAACTAGCAGAAACAAAATGGTTCACTTAGCTTGGCCATCACACTCACACTTTAACATTAATTCTGTAGAAGCATTTTCTTGCAAACATTAATCTATAGAGTTTTTAACTTAAGGGTGCGCTCGATTGGGAAATCCGGATTTAGATTTTTAATTTTTTGATTTAGATTCCCAATCGAACGCAAAATCCGAAAACGGATTTCACCTCCGAGAAATCCTTCCTCAGGGTGGATTTCAATTAAGAAATCCAAATCCGGATTTTTTGGAATTCCTTTTTAACCGTTCGATTGGGAAATCCGAAAACGGATTTGCAAAACTGTTCTCGTGAACAGCGGTCTTCTTTTTCCTAATTATGCGTGCGCGTGCAATACCACTGTTATTAACGTTATTAAATCCTTTTTCGGATTTCCCAATCGAACGGTAAAAATGAAAATCAAAAAACAGATATCTCAGCGTTGAATTCCGTTTTCGGATTTCGCGTTCGATTGCAAAACCGAAATCCGGATTTTAAAATCTAAATCCAGATTTCCCAATCGAGCGCACCCTTAGAATTAGTGAAGGCATATTGAGAGAAATAAATTAAATTGAATAAATGCGTTCTACAAGGCGACTAAGGGATCATTACGGGTAGGAGCTCTCCTAGTGAAAATGAAAGGAGATGTCAAAAGAATACCTTTACTAAGGAAAATTGTTGCATAAAAGTTACATTGCACGTGGAGATCAGTGCTTCAGAAATGAGCCAGTCAAATTGCCTAAGTCGATCTTCACTGGAGGCAAAGTTTAAACTTACCAATGCCAATTGCAGATTTGCACGTGACGTCACGGCGGCCGTCATGATGTTGGGGGATCAAAACTAAAGCATTTCTCTCTTCTTTTTTTTTTTAACTTGTCTCTTCTGGAAACTAAACTCTATTTTCAAGTAAATTCTTCGAGAAAAAATTCTTCTGTTTTGACCTCCTACATGGCCCTCTTGCCGTCTTGGTTGCAAACAAAGAATTGTGATTTGTATTTTCTACTTCTAGGTTGATTTATACTGGTTCTCTTTCTCTCTACGGCTGAAACTAATTCTTGATATGTTCAACAATAACTTCTATGGAAAAATGCGCTAACGGCAGTTCAATGGCCCACGTTCGATTTATTAAAAATTCTAACATGAATCCTTTGCTTTAGGGTCAAAATCACAGTTTCTTTAATACTCCATTGTCTTGCAATTTCCAAAAGAGACCAGCTTGAGCACAAAGAAAACCGAGAAAACCAAACCAATAGAAAAATGACCAGAAAGCCTCGGAGTCCTGTTAAAATTTTAGTATATCGAATGTGGGGAATTGACCAAACAAGGAAAAGGAAAAGACGCACATGCACACCAAGCTTTACATGCATCTTATGTATCAATTTTCATGTCGTATATATACTTCCAACAGATACAACTGGAGGATGGGGGGCAGGGTTTTTCAACTACAAGCGCCTTGCACTAGGGATTCAGGGTTGACCAGCAGTTGACGACAAGCCGTTTTTCTTTCTGAGTAATTTTCTATGTTACTTTTCTAGATGTTAACGAATGTAGCATACCTGACACCTGTCCTGCTAATTTCGAGTGCAAGAATTTGAAGTTTACATACAAGTGTGAATGCAGAGGAGGGTTTAAATATCAAATTAAGGAGAAAGGAAAAAGCAAGGAATGCGTGGGTGAGTTTCAATTGGCGTATAATTCTCATAACATTGGGCAGAATTATCTGCATTTTACTCAAAAAGGATTGCTTTTTACAACAAAGTTAAAAATGGGAGATATAAAGAATCAACGATAAGAGGACACAGAAAAAAAACTGAGCCACAGAAGGGATTCGAAACCACGCCCCTATGCGGTTCGTAAGTCCGCCCCAAAAAAGTGACCCTTGCTCGCCAACGAGTCCTCAGTACTCAATGGTTAGAACACGGAGGGTCGTGGGTTCGAATCCCATCTGGGGTTCAGATTTTTTCTATGCTCTCTTATGGTTGATTCTTTATATCTCCCTTTCCTAACTTTATTATTTCATGTCAGTGGGATAGGTTGGATTGCTTTTCTTATCAATACTCGTAAACCATGGCCAACTCAGAGATACTACACACCAACAAATTCTGAAATATCTTTTTCTCGTAGAGAACTTCCGCTCGTAGGCTTTGCTGAATCTACCGGTACATATACAGTATGCCATGCCGTTCCCAAAGCATTTTCTAGTTAGTGTCTCAGGCAATTGTTGTTGTTGTTGTTGTTGTTTTTCTGCTTTGTGATTGGGTACAACATGACTCATGGTCCACTTTTTTATCCAAGCAAAAGAAAGATCTAAACCTTAACTTGGGGCTTTTACTGATTATTGATTAGTTTGCTGGATTGGCAGCAATTATTGTAACTATTATTAAGTTTACCTTTTAGTTGTTTCTTCTCTACTTCGATACTCGCTTGAGAGCCACGCTACCACTTCAGTTTTTCCTCTTGTATTCCACAGATCGAGATGAATGCTCCGTGAAAGGTTCTTGTCCGCTGGCAAATTCATACTGTGTGAACACGTTTGGATCATACAAGTGCCTTTGTAACAAGGGATACAAAGAGGTTTACGATGCAAAGAAAAAACTTTTAAAATGCCAGGGTATGGTTACAATTGTAGCTGTTACGTCTCTTCATTAATAGCTTCTTTTTTCACAAAGGATCGCCTAGTCTGTCGGCCTTTTCATTGCCATTTTAAGACTTCTAGAGAGAGGTTGCTGGATTATTTTGGTTATATATGATTTACATATGATGTGTTATCTATGTCAGTTTGTCTACCTGAGTGAAAACTACCTTAGTGGAGACATTGCTTAAGCAACTACGGCGGAACGGCAGCGAAAACGTCACTTAGAACTTGCGGAATTCGCTCTGTTTCAAACTTCATCATTTACAATTTTATGCGCTGACAAGAATGTAAGATCTAAAAGTACTTTGGATACTTTGGAAGGAAACCGTCGTTGGGTGCCCCTGCTTATAGAAATAGGATTGTAATTAGGTCTCAGCCAACTCTCTCCAAGACGAACACCTTTGGGACTGGCACTATAGCCTGGTTTTCACTAGCGCCAAGAGAGAATGATAGATCATTCTCTCTTGCCAGCGCATAAGAACACACACACCGCGGGCAGAATGGTATATTTGACTCAATTTTCGACACCAGCTCTCCTCAATCCGATGATAAACAAGGTTGCTGACGAAGCTTCCGCCACATTGCTTTGATATGTTCGCATGAGGACTGGGTCAAAGTGACCTATGATTGGTCCACGACCTTGTGCGCATGCTTGTGCTTATGTCGACCCAGTTTTCACTAGTCAAAGCTACGACATAAGCACAAGCAAAAGCATAAGAAGAGCGAACTTGTCCGTTTTTCTCGTGATGCTTATGCTTATGTCGACCCAGTTTTCACTTGCTTACCCATCTGCTTGTACTTATTCTTATGCTTATGCTTATGGGCTAGTGAAAAGCAGCCTTATGCATCCGTCTTAGAGAGATCTCCGTCTTAAAAAGATTCAACTAGAGTGAAGTAAAAGGATGCAATGGACCAACTCTAGATCTCCGTTTTAGCGAGATGTCTGTCTTATAGAAGTGTCCGTTAAGATAGAAATGACTGTATCACATAACTTTTAAAAACAGTTTTAGGATTTTCTAAATAAAAAAAAGGTATATCACACCAACAAGGGATATATATTGGCGCTAATATTAATGCTATAACCAAGAACCAAGAATTTTGAGACCCTATTGGCAGTATTTTTATATGATTTTTAGATGTTGATGAATGTGAGGATTCGAATCTCTTCAAGTGCCCCGAGCGAACTAAATGCGTCAACCAGCAAGGGGACTATACCTGTCAATGCATATCAGGATATGAATCAGCTCTAAAAAGTATCAGCCAAGCAAAGGACATCAAATGCAGAGGTGAGCTTATTTATTAACTTAAGAGTTTTACACATGCAACGAGATGCTTTAAGCAAGTGGAGTGAAATGATAATGACTATGATAACAATCCAAGTCCATGGATTGGACTCGGATGTTGAGAGAGAAAATCAATCACAATTACACTAGTATATCTTATATAATAATAATAATAATAATAATAATAATAATGATAATAATGATAATGATAAGAAGAAGAAGAATGATTAAACTAGAATCTTGGTCTTAAGACTTGGTTGCTCAAAGATTTATTGAGCTTTAGAAATTTTCCAAAGCAGTAATGCTATTCCTGAACTTAGCTTCGTCCTTTGCCCATTTTGTTTCATTTTTTCATTCTCCCATTCTTTTCATGTTTTGAAAAAAACTTTTATCTACTTTTTTTTTCGCGTATCAGACGAAGACGAATGCGCAAAGAAGACCTATTCCTGTCACGTGAATGCCACGTGTTCAAACACCATTGGCTCATACAAGTGCATGTGCTTCTCAGGACTACAAGGCGATGGCCGAACACACTGTACAGGTAAATAAACACTCTTCGCGTGTGAATTCACTGGTCATTACGCATGCACGAATGTAGAGATGAATCTGACATCTGCAACTACCACCGAACTCAATGCAACCTTCGAATAATACATTAATTTATGGATTGTTTGGAGGTACGCTTGACCTGGATTGATTGTAATAATTGGCTTTATTAACAAAACAACAGTACTTCAAGTGCAGCACCCTTTTTGCTACATTTCTTTGACTTTACACTGCAAGATTACAACGTGAAACTTTCTAATTTGAAATTAAAACAAACAAAGACGAAGTTTTTTAATTCGAATATTCCAGGAAAATTAAAATTATACTTCATCTGGCAAATTTTGCGTCGGTGAAAAAAACTCGATAAAGTTTGAAAGAATCCAAGCTGAATTTCATTGACCATTCACTGCAGTCCTCGCCGTTGTTGTTTGAGCTCGATAATGATGATGATGATGATGATGATGATGATGATGATGATGATGATGATGATGGTGATGATGGTTGATAATGACGATGGTGTTGATAAGGGTGGTGTTGATGATGATGGTGACAGCTGTTTCGCCTTTTGCCGCTCGTCAGGACGGCGTAACAAACAGTAAAACTCTGCTGTAAAAATTCACCTTCTCTCTTTTTTTAGCTCTGACACTGAAACCCAACACCCACTGAATCACGCCACATCACGTGTCTCCGGAGGCTAAGAGCCCAAGTATCGCATTGATGTCTACTTGGTATATTTTTACTGATCACGTCTTCTTTAGACCCTACGTTCTGCGACATATTCGTTTGCGGTCCTTAGTAGTTAATTTTCATTTAGCACTAATTAATTGAATATAAATCAATTCAAAATTTTTCCCAGATCTGTATCCATGCCTGGAAGGAAACAAATGCAGATTTGAACATCAGATATGCAAAAAAATGAAAGGAACTCACTTGTGTGACTGCATTGATGGGTACTATCACGGTTTCAGGAGGTGTGAAGGTACTGAGCTACTACATACAGCCACAATATCCTTGTACGCAAAAACCAAAACTCGAGTGTATTTATTTATTTTTTCTACCATGAATATTAGCAAATCGTCGACAATATTCCTGGGTCTCTCTTACTCTCATCTTCCATAGAAATAAACATTTTGACGTCATTTCTATGGTCGATAAGTGTACAGACCATATTAGGTTGTTGTTGATTTGTTTTTTATAATAGCATCGACAGTTTTTGATGTCCGTTTCCGTTTCTTTGAAAGTCGCACGCGCGAAAAAGAGACCTCATGTTCTCGACCAATCAGCGCCTGATAAATCACTCAGTTATACAATTATGATTCCTGTTTCGACGGATTTTTCTGAAGATGACTTAACCAACAGGGTAAGGATAAACAAAAAATTGATTTGAGAGTAAAGATATTAACAGGCGAGTTTCTATGATATAGAATTTTTGTTTCTCCCCCTCCCGCGTAAAACTCCTTGGAACAGGAATGCATCAACAGATCTTCGCATAGATCAATCATGATATAATTCTACTCCAATAAGTAATAAGTCTTTTACCTTCTTAAATGATACATATCTATATTCTTGCAGATAAGAACGAATGTGAATTAGATTCCAAAATTTGTGGATCACACTCTGCTTGTACCAACAATGAAGGATCCTACAAATGCAACTGCGAAACTGGTTTTACAAGCGCAAGTGGTGATGGGAAGCGTTGTATAGGTAAGAGGCTATGGGCAGATATATCTTGACTTCATTGTTTACATTTCTGCTCGTTGACATACGAGTTAACCCATAGAAAAATTAGCCGTATATACCGATTAGGTTCAAAAATTGAAAGAGTTAATTTGGTTAATTAAAGCAGTTTGTAAAAGTTTCAACACTTTGCAATCAATAACAAAGGAAGTTAAGAAGCAATCAAAAACCGGGAAATTGCCGGCTGGGAAAACATTAATGAGGAAATACATTATTTTTTGTTAAATTTTTTTTTTTTTCAGATAGAATTTCTTGGAACCTATTTGGTATATCGGGCTCACATTTTCAGAGATTTTTGAAATTGTTATGTTCTTTCAGTATTCAGAGGTTTTATTCTAGTAGGCCTAGTAGCTTTATCAGATGATAAGCATATGTTAACTGCTTGATCTGTCTTTTTGAGATAGAAAATATTTAAATAGAAAATAATTCAACCTGTCAATTGGCAAAAAAGTTTTCAGAAATTCCTTGCAAATATCCTTCGAATTTTTCTGGATCTTTGCTTTTTTATTACAGGAACTTATTTGGTGAAACTTAATATTTTTTATGGCAGATATAGACGAATGCAAGGAAAAGTCTGTTTGTGGAACTGTGGCAAGATGTGAAAATATGCTTGGAATGTTTGACTGCATTTGTCCTCAAGGCTACCGCTATGTTGAAGAAACGAAGGGATGCCCAGGTTAACAACAAAAAACCTCATAGTTAACTCTATCAGAAGTCCACACTTTCCTTCAATTTTTTTTCCAATCGCTGTGTTCAGCAAGGGGAAATGCACAATGGAATGATGATTTTAAACGAACAAGTAAACGTTAACTTTTGCGTATCTTTAGAATACGAAATTCAGGTCTAACATAGTCCATTCTTTGCAATTTTGAGCTTATAGAGGTGTAGAGTACGGGAAATTTTAAACAAGGAATTAATAGTGCAACCCAAACGCAAAGCGTTTGTCCAAAACTGATATTCTTAATCTTTGCTTTCAGTTACTCAGAAGTAATACTTAGTATTAGTACAAAAATATATCTCAGGTCGTTCCCTTATAGGTTAGGTACGCTATCAAGAATCATATCAAGATCATGCTGAACTTATAATAATTCAGGAATTAATGTTAATGAAATTATTTTGACCTTAGCTTTACTGATTATCTGATTATGTCATGTAAGCTAAAAAGATCAATATGTTATTTTAAAAAAATTTCCTCATGTTGGCCTCTTTTTTAAAAATATTTCTCGGTATCATGCAGACATAGATGAGTGCGCGGAGCTTGTATGTGGTCTTAACACTTTGTGCTTCAACACCAATGGCTCTTATTCGTGCGCCTGTCAAGCTGGATTTCGCTCAGAAAACCACACGTTAAACTGCACAGGTGAGTAACTAAATAGGGTATTTTCTGGGAAAATAACATTGAATGGTTTATTGATTACATCCTACTAATTTGTTTGCGGCGTGCGTCTTTCAATCCAAACTTTTCCTTGGCCTATTAACAAATTGAGTTAAGATCCTTCTATTGAATGATCACTCTATTTTAGAACAAATTATCAATCATTGACACCATTCAAGCTTCCAGGTACTACATGCTTTGGTTTTTCTTAATATTTGAGTGTATCTTCAAATCAAACTACACCCTCGCAAGGGATAACTATTGGCGGAAATATCGTGTAAAATCCACGCCCAATTCGATCCGCGGTTATGCCAGAGGAATTATCCATCTTACCTTCTTTCACACAACAACTTTGAGAGGCTTTTGTTGGTAACTTTCACGAGCACGCAAGTATCTGCTACTCTAGTTTAAGACCATAAATGTTGTTTACAAAAAAACAGTAAGTGGCTTCCAGTGACAACCTCGTCCCCAGGGCCCCTCTCATTTTTATTAGGAAAAAGCCCTTGTGACGAGGTTGTTCCAGTGAAGGATTTTCCCAGCTGAGGACTGGTAGAAAATCTAGCTAGTCCAGTCAGATTAGAGTTTGCATATTTCATATTATAACTCTTAAGACTCAGGACTTTTGCTGCCAATATTTCAGACCGTAAGGCTGAGCTTGAAATCGAAAATCTTTCGTGCCGAAAATATCTACAAATTATATAAAACGACTGATGAGAAAGTATCTCTTCCATCTTAGACGCTTTATTCTGTAATTACTTTAAAGTAATATGATGAATTCGACTTGCATTTTCTTGTTATATTTCAGATATTGATGAATGTTTGGAGAACACTTACACCTGCGACTCAGCCTCAAACTGTGAAAACACACTAGGTGGATATGACTGCAAGTGTAAGGAGGGCTATTATAAGACAGCTCAAGGCACATGTGCAGGTAATAAAATCACGTGTTGTGAGCACATGAAGCAAAATATGCTTTAGGTGAGACGTTAAAGGGGCCTAAAAATTTGTAAATGATAGTAGAAATCCCTAATATAGACTTAACCTTTCCTGGAGTTTGAATAAAAACCGCATACGAGGGAATGGTCTTCAAAAAAGGGGCGGTAAGTTGTACCCAACCTCCCTTCCCCCCGTGATTTGGCCTGACATGACTGACCGGCCCACTTTTACGAAAAAGGGGGCAATGGAATACGAAATCTGATGTCTAATGTCTCCTTCACTCTGTGTTTATGTAATAATATATTTACTAACAATTAACCCCCAGCAGTTGTTCGTCTATCCCGCCTAGATTAGCAGGTGCTACTTGCAGTCAGTGTAATTACTGAAGTTAAGTTCTTCAATTCTCAATGGGAACGGCCTATGATCCTTCAATAGCAGAGAGAGTATACTTCCACTGGTTACTCACACACCTTATGTAAAACACACTCCTACATACAGTTAACTCAAATCTCTATATAACTCGTCGTGTATGGTTTTTTAAATCCTTTGAAACCTCTCTTGCAGAGAAGTGCGGTGTAAGCTGTAGCGAAAATGCCTTTTGTCATCATGGACAGTGTCTCTGCCTTCCTGGGTACTCCCTTGGACCGTTCAATGAGTGTTACGAAGGCAAGTTGCTATAATCTTAAAAACTCCGCTTACGATTACAGTTTTATAGTAACTTTGGTGACAATTTTGATATTATACGTTGCTTTGGGGAAAATTTTCAAGCGCTGAATTCATATTACTACCCGGATCATAAAAGGATAAAACGTCTTTTAGCTTTTATGACAGATATCCCAAGCGGTTGGTCTTGAGAGATATCGTACAACCCTCTGCAACTTCGAAAACACTACCAAGTCTTATGAGAATAAATAATCATGAACTAAAAGGGTCATAAAAATTTCATGGCTGTATTAATGAACGAAATAGTCTTATTAAAAGAGGTTCTTAAGTGAGAAAATTAGTAAGTAGTTTTTATCGAATGAAAGGTGGGATTTAAAATGGGGATAGTCGAAAGGTGAGATCACTGTATCACGTGACTTAAATTATGGACTCTTTCAAAGAGAATAATGACAATGTATCTCATGAACGTTAATTCTGGTTTCGTTTCTAGATTCTTTCTTTTTAGTTGGATCAGGAAAGGCTCTTCAGTCTCCCTTTATGCTCATCATGGCTGGACTGTTTGGATGTAAATCTTTTCTTTGAGCTTTCTTCTACTTTCAATGCAATGAGTAAAATTCAGGTTGCAGCATTTCTGATCAAATCTTTAGATTAATTAAAACTGAAGCACACTGGCTGAGAAACGTTCATCGGAATTGTGATGCGATACTAAATATAATACTTGTAAAGTATAAAATAATGAAACGTCTTTGTTCATTGCTGCGACATTTATTGTAAAGAAAAACTGCATTCACTTGTTTTCAAGTTTACGAAAAAACTGAAGCACTGGCTAATGTAAAAAGTTTGAATGTCCATAACGAGAAAATGGCTCTTTCACGTAAAACCGGGAAAATACATGTTTGACAATCAACAATTAACTACTACTAAGAGATTTTTATATTTCAAAATGAAATCATGTTAAATGGCGTTTCTAAGGATACCGAATAAATAACTGGAGTTCCTGTGGTACATGGTGTCTCTATCTTTCGCTACCTTTCGCCATCATTGTAGCACCCGGTACCCTGTATGGTAACTCAACCTTCCCATAACATGTTTTCTTGACAAATAAAAATGTATTTCAGTTTCTCAGGTGTAATATTTTAGACTTGTAGATAAGTTAAGAGCAGATTCCTCAAGTTCACGACGTCTTTTTTATTGTGTCATTTCCCATCGAAGAGCTGATTTCAAAAAGAAAAAATAATTATAGGGGTTGTCAATTTAAAATTATTTAGCAAGAGCGCTTTTATTTAAAAAAAAAAATCATACATATAATAAGTTCTCATCCAAAAGCAGACTTCCATTTGAATGAGCAAATTCTCGGGCATTCAATGTATTGATTTGGCTCAATACCCATGTAAATACTGTGCGAAGCATATTGCAAATTTTGTAGGACTTCCAAACGCGTTATGTTCCCAACCTGCCTAGAAGTAAGGGAATTGAAAATTTCGTGGTTTTCATTTACATTACATCTTTTTTTCAAATCGAGACACAATAAACCACCGCAGACAAAAATGATTCAATGGAACCATTCGCCCCACGCAAGGGAATCCAAGACCGTATTGGATTCTGGATTCTGCGCTGTGGAACTTGGATTCCCGATTCTAATCGTTAGTATGATTTTGGATTCCTTGAGCTGTATTCCGGATTCCAAAGCCCAGGATTCTGGAATCCTCAAGGAAAAAGTTCCCAGCTCCCGGATTCCACAAGCAAAAATTTCTCTGATTGCGGAATCCGGATTCCCTTATAATTCATTAGACGAATTAAATCTCCACTGCTGATTGTATTCCATAGCGATGAATCTACTCACTGGAAGTTCGAAACCTACTGCTCACACCTTCAAGTCCTATAATGTCTTCTGGACGGGATTGCTTGATACCACACACTCTCCCTCGGGGGCACTTCATTATATAGCCTATACGGGGATGTGCTTTTGGGCAGAGTATGGTTTTTGACCTCTCTGTCCTAAACAGGGTGTATAATCTGGTGTGAATCTGTCCTAAACAGGGTATACAACTCCGTGTGAGTCTGTCAACAGGGTATTGCCTGTACGGATTGACATGATTTGCTAGATGAGTTTTGTTCGTAGTCCAAGTATACAAAGCAATGACTTTTACCTCCAGGGTTGTCCCAAACAAGGCATGTATTTTAGGATTTTTTTTTTGTCCTAAACAGGGTCAGGGTTTTAATCCCTCAGCGGCTCACCCATACCCAAATATTGGTCATCATCATCATCATCATCATTCTTTTTAGTCCCTGGGGCCCGTTTCTCGAAAGTCCCGGTAACTTTTCGGGTCCGAAATCAAATATTCAAATCGAAATATAAAGAATAAGAGCGCGGATCCTGGCTAGCAAACTACTCCATTTTGTTTCACTAACTGATAGTTTTATCATGCTAGATGCAAAACTTTTGAAACCTCGATCTTTAATATAAACGGAGACGGCTTACAGGGCCCGTTAATTATCGGGACTTTCGACAAACGGGCCCCTGGTCACGACTTAAAATCGGATCATTTTTTTTTTGGCAAGAGAACGGTTGGACACCCATTGTACGATAAAGGAGACTATTGATAAGGGATTTAAAGCCTTCCCTAGATAAAAATGTTATCAGTGAAAAACGTTACCTTTGGTAGTTTAAGTTTTGCAATAATGCGACAACAATTGCAAATTGAAAGAGATGGAGTAACAATGATAAAAATTGTAAAAGCACGAACTCCTTTTTTTTAACTGAAGTTCTTGCAGCCGTCCCAGTCGCGGTTGCTTACTTAAAGCTGTCCAATGAAATGTTTTGGAAGGCCCCTAAGAAACTGAATTAGAAGTGAAACATTGACAGAAAGTTGGATAGTTAGAATAAAAGTCCAATAAAACACAAGATGCTGCAAACTAAAGTAAATAATTTCCTTTTATTTAGAAATCTTACATAAAAAATAGCTCTGCCTATATAAACACCTAAAATTATATAACAATATTTTTATGCTTTGATTTAAGAATGGTCCATTCAAATTAGCCTCAGATATGTGAGTGTTAAAATTTAGTCTAATATACCATTTATTTTCTACACTTAGTGCACATGAACTATGTTGATACAAGCTGACGCAAAATGTCTATTGACTGACATACGTAAACTGTTAAATTTGATAGTTTTCCCCCCTACGGTGGATACGTTCAATGCTTACAAAGCAAATTTCTGTCAATTTTCTTTGCCTCCAATTTGATATTTGCTAAAAAAAAATAAACAAATAAAAAAACAAACGGCAACACGGATTAAAATTTAACCCAAGGTTAGCAATAGTCGGCCTTCCAAACACTGGGCCATGGAGTACAAAACCGAATTTTTATACATTGTATAAAGTAAAATCTTAATTTCGATGTTACACATCAGCAACTTTTTGTTATAAATAAACGCAATAGACTCCTTCGTCTTAATGACGAACATATAGAATTAGAGACGAATCCGTCTAAGACGGGTACCATAAATGATCTAATACACGCTCCCGGGGCGTTTATTTAATTTTAGGAGCCTGACGTTTGAATACATAGAAGGGGTTTCAAAGAGAAAGAAAGTCGGTTGTTCTTATAACTGTTACAAACTTCGGACACCACAGTTATAGTTTACAAATAGCAGACTGTTTATCGTTCTTGTTTTTTTTTTAATCTCAACGTCGATGTCAGAATTGAACAAGAGGTAATGCACAAACTTTAACTCACGCAAGAAACTGGATAACTTGGGTGATTCTGCTCTACTTCGCCATTAATTTTTAGTATTTGAAGCAATTGTCGAAGTGAGCGTTTATTGGAGAGAGAGGCGCCTGATACAAACACAAAAGTGTAAGAGGCGTTTATTTAGGGCGCTTTCCATTTGTCAGAACTGACCGGCCGACCAACCGTTCCCGCCTCAATAATATTATGTTTTAAATCAAAACTTACCGGCAAAATCAGTCAAATCCTAAATTTTATGCAGGAAGCAGATGACTTTTCATTAAACCCTCCTGGAAAAAGCCTATTTCATTGTCAAACTGACTGGCCGGGCAATGGTCCAGCCGGCCAGTTCTGACAAATGGAAAGCGCCCTTAGAGAGGGTGTCTATAAGATCATTTACGGCATTTCGTCTAACTGCTTGATCCACAAGTATATAAATACTTACTACACTGTACAACAGTGAATGGTTTAAACTCACGAGTCATTTCATAATTTTTAAGTACGCGGAGCATGATCGTCCGGAAGAGCATAGTCCCGAATAAGGCTGCTGCTGACAGTGACTGACGTTTCGACAACCTGTGCAGTGGTCACCTTCAGAATGAAAGTGAGTTGTATCGCGTAAGTTGATGGTATTAAACACATCAAACGCACAAATCATATTAAGAATCCTCAAACCCAATAACATCACGGCTTAACTGAAAGACAACAAACGACATCACGACTTAATTGACCGATCAGTTCAATAACCAACATTTAATACCATCGACCGACGTTAGAAAACTCTCTTTGACTCTGAAGATGACTACTGCACACGTTATCAAAATGTCAGTCACTGTCAACATCAGTCCTTTTCAGGACTACACTGACCCAAACGATCATACCACCTACTTACACTATACAATAATGATACACTATCAAGAAAACTTTCATGCTGTATTCAAACTTACCCCCTAATGCAGTGATTTTCAATAAGACAATTACACGATAGCAGCATTTTAATACATTCAACTACCAAATCCGTTAGTCTGCTGTTTTCTTATGCAAATTTCAGCCATTTTTCTTGAAACCTCAACAGGATTGACAAATTAAAACAAGAATGCGAAAGCAAAATAAATTCTGGTACTTTTGTCATATGACGTCATCGTGAAAATGGCCAATTACCCGGGCAACTGATAAAACATATGACAATAAATTTCGACTTCCAATTAATTCTAATTATTATTCAATCAATTAGAATTTGTTGTGGGGGGTATGTCTCTGGGAAACTACCACCTACCCCTCCCGTAAGTCCCGTACGCTAGGCGCCAGCGAGACGTACTTCCCTCGAGAACTGACTGGCTTATTTAATTATCAGCACGCTTATAATTGGCCGAAGTAATAACAAGAACGTGCATTTTGGTTTTATAACACTCAATAACACAGTTCTCCCTTGATATGGTATTTTTCGAGTAGAAAACTATAAAATCGGGTGTAAAAAGGAATGCTTTGTAAAGCAGAAAGAGATACCGTATGTAAAGTTTTATAAAAACACAAATTAAACAAAAAAACAATTTAAATACAAGAAAATATAAACTCTGCAAAAATACAACAAACGGCTTCTGTTCAGTAACCTTATTATGACACGTACACTATCCTAAAACGAACCACAAAAATATTCTTCTTCATTATTTGAGTTGATACGGTAAACACAAAAAAAGCGCTCCCACCGAGACGACGAAGCACCACCGTTTTTAACCTAAGATAACACATTGTCCTGGTTATTCTGAAATAAACCTTACTCACTAGGTTTTGCTGTTACTCTCGTTGTAGATCACGTGATAATCTCCGGGGATTCTTGCAATTAGAGAGTGCATGCGAGCACAAGTATTATACAGTTCTGGACACTTCCCTATAATAGGTTGTCGCATGAACTACATTGAGGGCAATAACAAACATTTAAATTTAAATTTCAACAGAGTTCGTACAGATTTTTGGACCTAAAATTCAAGACTTTTTCCACACTTTTTTCCAAAAAAATGCTTTCTTTTTCCAGACTCAAGGTTATCAAATAGTCAAAAAATAGAGACTTAAAAAGAACCACAGGAACAAAGCTTTTTTCATGGTGCACTGCAAACGAACAGGCGAGATTGAATAAGATTTGACCAATAGAAAACAATTCTATTTATAAAGCACTTGCTGTAACTTAAAAGAAATCAAGACTTTTTAGTACTTTTCCAGACTTTATCTCCATTTTCCAGACTTTTTCCTGGTCTGGAAAATTACTAGGCAAATTTCAAGACTTTTTCAGGAATTCAAGACTCTGTACCAACCTTGTTTGAACAAGGCCTATCGCCATGGTTTTACCTTAACAAAACGTTTTAGATATTAAGACTCGGTAATCACGCCAGCTATAAAATCCTACAGTACCGAGCGCCTGTTCTGAGAACTCTTTGAGAAGTTCAAGTGTATTAGATCCTCATATGCCAAAGACAGACCTCGCGGGGACTTCAATCTGATGCTTACACAAGCCTGATGTTTGCGATTAATTTTCAAAGCGGTAGTTGGCTCTATGGCACTGCAAGGCTTCTCTTTCACCCTATGAAGAGTGATTTACATTAACCACATTAAAAACACGATATTGCAATTATAGAAAACAGTTAAAAGTCCGTCTAGTTAGTTAGAAAACAACAAAAAAGGGGTACAGTCAGTTAAATTAATAGCTAGAATATAATATAGCACATTTTAACTACCAACAATAAAAGTTCATCTTAGGAAGTCTAAGTTTCAACCAAGTATAGCAGAAACCTATCGCGCTAACATCATCGACAGATTGTAATTATCATAACGTAAAAACATCTTTAATGCCCCTGTTTTCAATATGCCGATGATACAACTCTCTATCTTCATTCGAAATTCTGTGAATTAGACGAAGGTATCACTGAACTGAATTGTGCTATAACAAGCCCTTGAGAACTAATCTATTCAGACTGTAACTAAGCGCTAATTGCCTCGAAGACCAAATGGATGCTAACAGTATCAACAAGGCAAATGTCTACGAACCACAGCTTAAGCAACCGTTCGCTCCCGGTCAAATGCCAAGGAGAGTTAAGGAGTGCCTCTGGAAGGCGCTCAAACCACTAAACTGTTAAGAGAGCATTTTGCAAACACATGACATGGAGTGAACATTAAACATATCACCAAAACTCTTGCATCATGCTTCGGGACCTTCGCTGCATTGAGAAAGCTGAATTTTCTAGCTCCTTACAATGTGAGGAAACAACTAGCCTCGGACCAGGCTCCGCAATGGGAGAAAAAAAATAAAAAACGGAGTCAAACGCGAAAAAAACAGATCGGCAAGCAAAGCGACTGCGGGGGCTTGGAGAGACTTGTTCTTTCAAAACTAGATTGTGCCGGTATTGTTTTAATCAATTACCAGCTTATCAAGTAAAACGCTTTCAACGGCTCCAGAATGCGTGCGCTAGTTTTGTCACAAATATGCCAAGGAGGCTACGGAAATTCTGCAAAAAAATATTTTTAAACTTTCGCGTGATTTGATCCGTCAATCAAATCGTACTTTTTAATGGTTTCCTCTCTGATTTTGTTTAGATCACTTCGTGTGTATATACTAAAACAATTATTCTTTTCAATCTCGGTGAATAGTGGCTTTAGGAATATTTACCTCGCTGCAATATTTAGCCACTATTCACCTCGATTTCAAAGAATAATTGTAAAATATCCTTACTCCAGCCGTCCGAAACAAACCCACACACATATACACACACACACCCCCCCCCGGCTTCCTGGTTCCTGAGGCTTGCCATTTTACTTACATGCCCAGTTTATTATTTCGCTCTTGTCCTTTCAGGTGCAATAAACAATAACAAACTGGAAGACTTACTTTTAGGGAGACATTTTAAAATATTCCTTCAAGATGCTTATTACTTCGGATATTTCAGGGCGACTGCCTGGGACGATCCCGATGCACTTAATAACCAGCTCTTTCAGGTCTGGATACTTCAAGAATGTTTTACGGCGACCGCCTGGAACGACCCCGCGGGTGTAATTTGTCCCCAGCTCATCAAGGTCTGGGAATCTACCATTCGATTGTTTCACCAGACGAGACAATTTGACAAAATCAGGAGAGCGACATACCGCCATTTCAAAGAGAACCCATCCAAAGTTCCAGATATCCGTCTGAAATAAGTAGTAGAAGGGTAAATACATGGAGACCAGCCTTAAAGCTGATTGGGCTACCCTGTGGATATTAAGTTTTACTTTACTTTAGTAAAAAAACTTCACAAAAAATGTAAAACAGAAAGGAACAGTTAAAATGTTTTTATAATAGTCTGGAACCAGGCTCCACAGTGAGGAAAACGGAAAAAAGGGGGTGAGACAACAAATTCTTTTTCCCTTTCCCCACTGTGGAGCTGGGTCCCAGGCTAAAGTTATAACAGCATCCTTGAGCTAAAAGACCATAAAGCTCTTTACCACCAACATTAAACATGAACATTAAGTGAAAATATTGATTGTGAGGAGAGGAAGTTGATTGTATGGTGATTAAGTTTAGTTTTGTTTATTTACTTTTGCTCTTCTCTACCCTACGAGCAGTCAGGTTTCTCTCTTGCATTGCTTTTAGCGTTTACGAAGTCGTTTGCATCCCTCAACGTCTGTTGGGTAGTTGGTTATAAGCTACCTCTAGTACCTAACTACAACTTCAATCAAGTGTGAAAGCAAGCAAATATAATTCAAGTAAACCTACGACAAAACCACTAAGCAAAAACTTAAATTAGCAAAGAACAAAAAGACTGCTCTTGCTCACCTTAAACGACTCAGGGTAGATAGGATCCATGCCAAACAACTGTCCATCATAGTGTAGAACTTCCAGTCTCACATCTTGCCGTGTTAACACTTTTGCCAATCCAAAGTCGCTTAATTTTGCGACTTCTGGATTATTATTGATTAAGATGTTACTAGATTTGATGTCAAAGTGAATAATGCCAATTTGCTGCAAATACTCCAGGCCGTTTGCAACATCTAGTCCAAAGCTCATTATTGAGTCAATACTTAGGCTACCACCTTTTCGTTTTATATGATGATGGAGGTTCTCATCCATCATCTCCATGAGAAGCGCCCCAGAATTAGTGCCTAGAAAGGCTACAATGTTTGGATGCTCCAAACAACTTAAAATACGTACTTCATTTATTAAATCCGATCGACCCCTTTCTTTCGGGAACTTCATGGCCACCTGGGCTGTTCCTTGAAAGACTTTTCCGAATCTGCCTTCGCCCAACATTGACCCTGTAGTATAAAAAGGCTTGAGTGGGCTTTTTGTGGAATCCCATATTTCCTGAGGTGTTACTGTTTCTAATAACTTATGTCTGATCAACTCTGCCTCATTTGCCACTGTTAGGAGAATATTATGATCCCCTTGTAGTTGTGCAGACTGGGTCTCACCATGACCTTTTTCCTAACAAAATAATCAAATAGCATCCATTGTGTAAAAATAATAACCAAAACGCTCAATCACGAGTAAAAAGGAAAGGTTCTAGTGAAAACAAATAAGGACAATATTATTCCTTTGCCCAATAGGGAGGAGTGATATTTTCAGAGGAGATGGGGGTAGGAGGGGTTGAGAGGGGTTTACAATATTACAGGGTTCAGGGGGCAAAGAAAAAGAGAACACATGTACATCCAATATTAGTAAAATTTAAGTGTAACATTACTGCCAGCTGACAAGAAAGACTAATTCCCGGCTAGCACTGGGGCCTCTTTTGAAAAGAGGCCTCTGCTCACAGGGAAACAGAATAAAATTAATAACTCAGCCACACAAAGTTTTGTTTCAATTCTGGCAAGATTCACCCCTCAATTGTTTTTACAATGACTTGAAAACTGTGGGAAAAGACATGATGGGGCAAACAAAAAGTGCTGTCTAAAAGCCTAGGCTAATGGAGTGACTCTTTGGGCTAGCACATTTTAATTACTAGTTAATTGTTGCCAAGCAACATTAGGTGAGTCAAAATAAAGGTTGTTGAAATAGGGGGTCGGCAAGCCTGCAGGACTGCTTCGGGGTGACAAACGTCAGCAGCAGCTTGCCCAAACATATTTTTTTTTTGGGGGGGCAGGGGGTACTCAACAAATATTTATACAGGGAGGCTCCACAATACCCTCTATTGACAAATAGTAACCATTTTACATATATTGTTTAGAACTTTGTGTCTCTTTAAACTGCTATAAATACATTGCCTTTTAAATTGGAATCAATCAACAAAATATAACTACTTTTCTTGACTTTTTCAAGCCATAAAATTCAGATTTCCCTACCCTTTTGTGTACTTCAACTAGTGAAAGCCCTACCCTTTCATATACTTGAAGCCTGAAAAAGGTACCGCTTTCAGGCAGAGCCTCCCTGTATAGGCCATGATAGGGGGTAGCCCCCAACACCCCACCCCCTGGCCACTTAGTCCCAAAAGCCACAGAAAACCAGCACTACACCAGAGAACAATAGAATTAAAAGCCCTTGGAGAACCCTTTATTAGGGCTTTCATTCATTCATTCATTCATTCATAAACAGGGCTATCGATAAGGGCTGGTAGCCAGCCAAATCTGCCAGCTGGTTAGCCACCATTAGCTGGCTACTTTTATGTTCTTCTACCATAGGATCTAACAGAAGATAAGAACCATCAAATAAAATTGTAAAGCATCTGTTTCCCAGTTTCGACGCATATTTAAACAGGATTAGATCTGTGAAATGTTCAAACCTATGATGTTGTGGAATGCCCGGGACATCTCCGAGACTCTAAAAAAATGTCCCTAGATGCCTTGGCCCTCAAGAACTTGGCCTTTGGTGCGAGGTTCCAAAGCTGCCAACTATTCATTATCAGCCTGCTACTTAAAAATGTTTTGACAGCCCTGCTATACATCTTTAGGTAATTGAAAGGTACAAGTACCAGTACCATACCTCCATTTTACTCTTCACATCCTCATTTGAGGTTTCTACTGGTCTTTTGGAGCCTAAAAAAAAAACAAGAAAACCATCATTACACAAGAATGTACACAGAATAATTACGGGAACTCATGAAAGTAGAAACAAGAGTGATACTAATGATATTGTGATTTGAAGCTTTAAGACAAATATTATTGTTTCCACAAGACGCGAGTGCCTTTCAGTCAGATCTTTTAGCAGGCCTAGGGTACAAAGTGACAGCTCATGGTGGGTTCAGGTCACAATTGCAGGCAAATGAAAATGTTTTATAGCAGTAAGCAAGATAACCAGATCATGCAGTAGAAGGTGGAAAAGACATAAATCTGTGGGGTTTTTTTGTGTATATGCAGTAAATCTTCCACTGGAAGCAGCAAAAATGCTGGCTTCAAACTTATTAATTACAATACATGTGTAATAACGATAATAACATATTATAATAATGAAAATAATAATAATAACAAATAATTTATACTGATTAATCATTAAAGGTGCCCACCAGAATCCAGAATCTAGGGTTGAACTGACTCAATTAAACTTTCAAACTGACACAAGTTACATGACTTAACATATAGTGATCTAACACAGTTGTAACTTAGACATGCCAGAAATTTGGTTATACATGTATATACTGTATTTTTACAAAGAGGTTTACAGCTAAAAATGTGCTTAAACACCTGGTCATTGAAAAATTCTGTCACAAGATGACAATCTACAATACACCTGTAGATGGGGTCCTGGCAGCCGACCCTTTATAAAGATGCTATTTTAGCTACACTAAATTATTGAAGATAAAAACTAAAAGGGATGAGTTACCTTCCTGTTGTTGCCCTGCAATTATAACTTGCCAAAGGCATCGTATCTCCCCTTGGGTAAACTTTTTATGGCGGCTTTCTTCACACATATTTAATAGCCAACGCGTTATTTCCCTGTAATTTGTAACCTTCTCACTTTCCATAATTTGGATAAAATGGATAAGGTGCTTGCCTCTGTCACCACTATCCATATCCTGAATAAGTTTCTCCTTTAACTCTTCCACTGTTAAAACAAATAATGAATAGTCACATTAGTTCATATAGAACGCAGGACACAGGAATGCAGGGCACAGGACCAAACTCCCCAAGAACTGGAAAACATACTTAGTTGGGCCCAGAACATCCTTAAATGACTATTAAACCTTACTAAAACTGGATCTTGACTGTAATTTGTGCACCCCTTAGTCAATAAAAATCAATTGACATTAATTGGCCGACACTTGACCAATATATCGGTGGATATGTCACCTGACACCCTACCGATATCTTGGGCGATATATCGGCCAACAGTCAGCCAATTTATCAACCAAGATATGTCAGTCGATATGTCAAGCGAGAGTGGTTGTCCGATTGTCAGCCAACATGTCAATCAATAGGCTACCGAATTGGTGGATTGTAGCCTGCATAGCAGACGTAATTTAACCTGGGTTAGTAACGTTTGCTGAGCAGGGCAGGTATACCTGTTCTACCCCCCACTTCTCAGAGGCTTCTTTGTATTAATTGCAGCCTCTGTGTACAGACTAAATCGGTGGAGTTTGTTTCGGCCAAGAATAATGATCTGGCTTTCAAACAAAGTGCGGATTGGCAAGGCAATGAATTCGACCATCTCTGTCTGAAATCAGGCGCGGTCACCTATCTTCAGCACCAAACAAGATTCCCTTTTTTGAACTAACATGGCAAATTGGGATAATCGCGAAAAAGCTTAATTAAAAGGATGCACAGTCTTAATTTTTCAGAGACGTTTTAATGGACGTCGGCGTTGTCAGATTGATTTGTTGGCCGACACGCAAGTGATATCTTGGTTGATATATCTACCAACACGATATATATATCAACTGAGATACCTCTGTAGTGTTCTAGCTTAAAAAGCAGACATTCATGGTCAACCAAGTCTAAAGCTTTTTTCAAGTCAATAACTGTAGCTCCAGTAATCATTTGCCTATCCATATTTTCCAAAATATAAATTATCAGTGAGGTAAACTACCGCAGTTTCAGTAGAATGCTTAGATCTTCATGGTTCATACAGAATTTTGGGGAAAAAAATCAAGTACTTTTCAAGGACTTTTCAAGGACCAAAGGACATCTTTTCCGCATTATTTAACACAGAATGAGAAGAAGTAAAATTACAAACCTATGAAAAATGTTCAGATTGTGTCTACTACAGACAAAATTTGACCAGACTATTGTTTGAGCTTTTGCAAACTGATATAAATGTTTGCATCCAAGTAAGCTAATTTATGCATTTTCCAATTGACAGCGAGTTTTTCTAAGTGTATTGGCTGGTGTGACAAAAGTTAATTTGCCTGTGGCTTCTGCTTTCAAGCAAAGTTTGTCTGGTGTTTCAGTAATAATTTATATTGGAATCTACTCTTGCAATTCAGGGCTGTGCTCTAGCAGCAGAGCCCGGTGGCCCCTGGTGCCTAACTTTTGCTCTCAAGTGACTAGGAAATCTTAGTTTTTTCATACAAATCATATGCTGGGCACCCTAGATTTTACAGTTTCAGAGCACTGGGCTCCCTTCAATTTTCCTTCAAGCACAGCCTGGCTTTTTCTTTTTCATTTCCTCGATCTCCTCAGACACTGACCCTTCTGCCTTTTTGACTGCATTGCCATCGTCACTGATTCCAACAAAACAATATTAAAATATCCATACGTCCAAATGCATAAGTGGAGGGAGGTTTGCTTATTGCAATGATTGCAATAGTCTCCCAGAAAGGTATGGTTCCTACATGGGTATTTCTATTAACGCCAAATGAACTATGGCGGGAACACCGAAATTATATGAAAACACACGTTCACGATCACTAAGAAAATTTACATACTGCTGTGCTTTCAAATCTTTCCTTTGTGCAAAACACTTTTTTAATGAAGGACTTTTCAAGGAAGTGATGCTTTTTCAAGGACTTTTCAAGGCCCATGCGAACCATGTTCTTTCGAAAACCTGATTGGTAGTCTGACAATAAGTCGAGTTCTCTCAAAAAAGCCAAGAATTGTACTTGAATATAGCACGCTCCATAATCTTTGACACCAGCGGAAGAACTGAGATTGGTCAGTAATTATTCGCATCGATCCTTGCTCCTGATTTAAAAAATAGGTGTTACTCTTGCATCCTTCCACTCAGATGGATTAAACCTAGCAACAATTTATGATGTGTTTATTTCACATACTGTAAATGGATTGGATAGCTAGTTTAAATTTAGCTTGAGTATCAGGCTTTTCTGGGGGGAAAGGGGAAGAAAAAAGGAAGGCCTGAAAAAAATCTGAACGTGGCTCCACAATTTCTGAGCACATGATTTAGTATTACTCGATATTTAAGTCTATTTTCAAATTCCCTCTCCCCCACCCACCCCACATCCCCACCCCCCTCGATAACGACAAACTCTGCCATCACAAAAAGACAATTTTGCAGGGAAGTGCCAAAAACAATAGAGAGCGCCTGAGTACAGAAGACTTTTCTGATTATTGTTCAAGAGAGGCCTCCCCTCCCCCTCCCATAAAAAAAAAATGTAAAAGAGATTGGGGGGTCTTTGTTTTCAAGTTTTGGGAGTCTTTGGGGTCTTTATTTTCAAGACACCCAAGTATGCGTAGCTGGCTTTGACATAATTACTCCACAATAGCCATCATTAAATTGTTTCCTTCTAAATTTTTATTTAAAAAAATAAACTTGTAAACTCTAAATTGTTGCTAACTTCAGTCTAGGTTTATGGGACAGAAAAAAGGCTTCTATGCACCCGTAACAGTACTATCTGGAATAGACGGGATTGTACAAAGTACAAACAGACATATACAGAGAAGAAAAAGTGCATGCAAGCACAACAGCTTCGTGAACATGGCTGCCATGTTCTTTCTCTCTAGCAACAACTCGAAAGCGACAAGGTAGAAGTGACAACGTGGAAGACAGTTTTCAACAAGGTTGTTGGGGGGACATGAATATGAACTTGTATACTTTAAACAAAGTAACATTAACATCTTAGTCCCCCGTACAATTCGGATAGGAAAAGAATATTTATATGGATTACACTTTACTGGCTTAACATTAATAGTTTATACGAATGGTTAGCGTGGGTTGAATTGCACTTGGTAAATTCAAAAAGGTCGTCAAAGATAATTTTGTTCATGTCAAAATTAAACGATCTTATAGCATTCAACTAAAGAAAGAAAAAAAATACATGTTTCAAGTGTAGGCCACTTCAGTTTCCTTAAACGATCTTTGTAATAATTCCATCTCACCACGTTTTTGCCCGAGAGGAAGCCGAGACTGGCTTGCTGAACTCTTTCTAATGCAAGCACATCTTCAACCAAATATGGGATCCAGGCCGGAGCAGCATGTTCAAGAACCGGGCACACGACAGATTTTTATAACGTAGAGAAAGCGTGGTCGGGATTCGACGAGCCCACTGTTCTGTGAACCAAACCCAATAATTTGTTGGCCTAATTAACGGTCATGTTAACATGTTCGCTCCAGGATAAATCCGAAGAAACCATAATGCCCAAATCCTTTATGCACTTTACACTTTTAAGGCTCGTACTCAATGAGTATGTAGGGAGGGAGAAGTCTTATTTGTGTGATTACGTAAAACTTCACATTTATCGGGATTAAAGAGTAGTTGCCATTTAAATGCCCAGCTAGGATAGTAACTGATGGACATCAAATTGAAGGGCTTCCCTGTCCCTTGCTATGTTTGACAGTTCTCTGTATACTTTTACTTTTACTACTTAGTTTTGATAAAAAAATTGCCAATTAAGAGTTCATCACAACATATGCGCAGACAACAAATGCGTACACAGAATTTGAATCATAAACTATTGCGTGACAACAGAAGATGTAAAGCTGCTAAGAAGAATTTGAGCGTATGCCTGCAGGAAGTTACAAGCTCACCAGGTAGAGTCTGCAAATGATAAAATTTTTTTCCCACAGGCACAAATTACAGCGATTTGAAGTGGGATCAAAAGGCTCGGCTTGCTTCAAGATCTTCTAAGTTGCATTAAAGGGGCTATGTCACACACTGCGCATGTGCGCGACGAAGCATTACATCTTGAAAACGTTCACCAACTTTTTCAAGTTCTGCGGGTGATTCAATATCAAGAGTTTATTGTTATTTATCTCAGCCATCCATTAACAGTTCGCAGAGTTATACGTCCATTACTATTGTACAGCCCTTTTAGAAGGTTTCACTGTGTTTTTGTTTCAATTACAGTCTGTACTCTGATCAACAGCTTATTTGAGGTCAACTGTTTGAAGGTAACAAAATGTCCTCTCATAGCGGCTGCAGGTCAGGAAGTGGCCACAAGAAAATCTTCGCCAAAAACTCAGCGAAGCTTCAGTCTAGGCGGAAGACTCGTAAAAGGATTTTGTTCGATGGAACAATTTTCTCATCTTGGGTTTCTGCGAGGATCAAGTGCGGATATGACGACGATTTTTTTTTTACAACGTTTTTATTGTTAGGAGGCAGGACTCCCCATCAGCCTCTGGCTGCCTACTCCAACAAGCGTTAACAGATAAAGTATGTTTACATGTATGTCTATTTTTTAACTCTTGACATCTGCATTAGCCCAGATAGAGAGTAGCGTCCCTCTTTTCTTTGTTTTTAAAAAAGTAGATTGGAATCGCGAACTTACTGTTAGCTTTAGTACTTATCTTCAGTTAACATAGGAATTTAATTGTTTTTTAAGGGGCAGGAGAGAATAAAGTACCCTATTGTTGTATTGTGAGGCTTTTACATAATGAAAAGAAAATTGCAAGGTCGCTTGGAGATATGTGGCAAGCCGACTGTAGCATTATTCAACACTTGAATTCAATTTCAATTCAATGAAATTTAATGTCAATTCAATGAAATTCAATGTCAATTCAATGAAATTCAATTTCAATTCAATGGAATTCAGTATCAATTCAATTTCAGTTTGACAATGAAATTCCAAGTCAATTGAATGATGATGATGATGATGATGATGATGATGATGAACTTTATTCATGTGTCGATGTATTTAGCTGACGCTAATTGGGGACACAACATAAAAATATAATAAATAATGAATAATATGATAAATAAAAGATAAGACAAATTCAATGTCAATTCAATGAAGTTCAATTTCAATTCAATGAAATTCAGTGTCAGTTCAATGAAATTCAATGTCAATTCAATTTCAATTCAACTTCAATTCAATGAATTTCAATGTCATTTCAATCATTAACTGCAAAGCATCATGGTTCTTGCAAAGCATCGTAGATCTTACATACGGAATTCACCCTCTTCCAGCTCTTCTCGCCATTTGCAGGTAAAATGGAGAAGCAGCTTCGAAGTCTTGCTGCTTTCCTGGGTGAATGCTCTAGAATAGTTTCCCAGGTCTTGGATAGTAGTGATTCAAGCTCAAATGGCAACATGACACTGGCCCGAAATTCATCCGATTGCTTTGAGTCGTTTTCTCCTCTCAACAACGTCTGAATCGACCGGCCGTTAATGCCGTCCAGTGACGTCACTCACTACCCGAAAACCGGGTAGTGGTTTTGATTGGCTGATTGTCTAAACATTCCCATAATTATGTATAATTATGAAAAATTTTAGCGGGATTGTCACTTGATTTTCAGCGGATCTCATCCCTGGCATCCTTTTGTTTAGTTCAAAGTTCATTTCGATAAGCGCAATCTTTATCTTAAACAGCAAAATTGCCCTTGTCTTCAAAACTGAAATGCTAAATTGAACTGCGAACGAAGAATCATTGCGGAGGGAGAGTCAGTAGGTTTTTCATTTACAGCCGTTTTGTGGTTTCGGCGGCCGGTGATTTCGTTTACGCGCAGTTTTCTGAGATCAATGTTATAATTCGACCTTCTTGCTATTTTTACCGTCAACAGTAATGATTCTGTTAGCTTTTCTTTCCTGTCTCGTTGCTTTTTTCTTCGTTAAGGACCAAATAGCATCTTTTCAATTAAAACAAATCATTGTGTTTTTGAACTACGTGTTCTGTGTGTGTGTTTATTTCATTGCGTGATTGCGACCGAGTTTGATTGTAGAATTTAGTACAACCGGAGTTGTGCTGCATGCAGTTGATAGTTTGAATGTTAAACATGAATTACGATCTAAAAAAATAAAGCAGTTCTGTATCATGCAGACCTTTCCAAAAGATATTTCTCGGTTTGCCACTTGAAAATTGTGTTTTACTTTTTGCATGAATTAAAGCAAAGGTCAAGGAGTAGTGAGTCCCGTACGTAACTTGCAGATCTGCCGAAGGCCTTTCTCAGGTCTGTCACAGGTCTGTTCAGTCATACAGCAGACCAATTTGACACAAAACTGAAGTCTGCAAGTCTGCATACTGTCTGTGACAGACATCTCATGAAAATGACTTCTTCCTTGACTGTGTGTTGCCTTTTATCTTGTTTGCAGCAAGTCTGTTGCAGACCTTTCGTGACTTTTGGTGATTATGCAGTAAGGATCTATTATTATGTCTGCACTTGATCTGCAGTAGACGCTGTGCAGACAACCACCCGCACGAAACTTGCAGTGCTGTACAGTGCCACAAAATCGCTTCAAAATAGCTGTACAGCTAAATTACAGCTGTTCAGCAGCCTTTTAGAAGCCAAACAGCAGCTTCATTCAAGTTGCAGCGGGCTGCAAATTAGCGCTGTGCAGCCTTTGAAGGTTCTTTGAAGCTCTCGGCAGCACTTTTGCAGCGCAGTTGCCGACTTTCAAACGCTGCGAAGTAGCTGCAGTAACGTCGCTACAATTCAGCTGCGGTCGATCTGACTTTCTTGAGCGCCAATAACATGAATCGCCAGATAAAGCCTTGGCACAGATTACGGCTTTTATAACGCGAAAACGTTGACTGTACCTCTAAGAAATGTGAGTAAGCTTGTGCTCAAGGAAGATCACTTATTGAATAAACCTTCAAATTCTATGCTTTCAATGAATTTTATTCCGTGACCGGCAAGTGTGGGAATGTTATCGCTAATTCCCTGGAGACATTCTAGGCCGTGATCTAATTGGTCAGTCCTCTTACATGAGATCCCATTACATCTCTAGACAAACACGGGATCCCAAACATTTGCGACGGTTGAATGAAAGGCGCAAACAGTCTAAGTGTTTTTGCATCTAGTTCTGTTTCGAGATGGAAGTTCTGTTAAAGTTTTTGGATGGAACTGCTCAAACGTATTTGCAAACAACGCACTGAACAGTGACTTCTACGCTAAGTATCGACGAATCGAACCAGAGCAAGCAACACAGATACAAGAATCTCAGATGGGGTAATTCGCACTTACAAGATTCTTATACGCTCGTGGTAATGTTCGGTCCTTAGTCCTTTGTAAAATTTAACGACGACCAAAGTAAAATTGGGTTGATTTCTTTCATGAAAAAAGTGTAGAAGATCGTCGATCATGGACAAAACGTCAAGGTGAGCAATGTCCAGCTTAGCCCATGCATTGCAACGAATCAAAATATCATTTGCCTGCTGTCCGTGTAAACTTTATGTATAAGAGCAATCGCTGTTATTCTCTTTATTTTTAAAAAAGATAATTTTAAGTTACTCTCTCGATGCCTCTTTCCATTCTTAAATAAAGGTCACCTTTAGGTCACCTTTTGGCTTGCAGCGTGTTGTTTTCTTCGTATATTTTTAGCTGACATCTAATACTCCATTCACTTTGCTGCAGTCAATCTGCAGACCTAAAGGTCTGTCATTCACCTTTTAACTTGCAGCTCACTGACAGTGAAGGGATACTTTTAGAACCGATCCACTTTTTGTGTTCACCTTTCCGTGACTAAATAAAATCGAACTGCACACTTAATACAGACCAACTGCATACTAACTGCAGACATTTCAGGCAAGTGATCTGCAGGCCTGCTGAAGACGGTTGAGCAGACGAAAGAAAGACCAGTCTGCAGATCTGCATGTTCCGTACAGGCGACATCACTGGACGGCATTAAAGGCCGGTCGATTCAGACGTTACTGAGGGAGTAATAACAACTCGAAGTAATCGCATGAAATTCAGGCTAAACATGACGCGGGTTTTACCAGCAAATAGCAGGAGAACAGCCAGCACTGTTTCAAGTGCAGTCGAATGAGCTTGATCTATGCTTCAAAGCAGTAGACACAGACGGCTATATTCTCGCTTCGTAGAGGAGAGCGAATCTCAAATGGTTTTGATTGCCAGGTTCTTTTGCTTTCTCAATTTCCTCGGTTACTACCAAGACTTGGAGAAGAGGAGGATGCTCAGAGTCCAGGCATTCCAACCCCTTCTGAGGAAAAAAAAGGGGGGTTTTTGTTAGCCTCCAAAGAGCTGATGCAAGTGCTGAAAGCACAAGCCTCTAGCCCTGGGGGTCTGGGGGCATGCCCCCCATAAAATTTTTCAAATTTAGTATCTCTCAAGCGCCTTTTTCTGCACTTTAGCATCATTTCTGAGTTATTCTATAAGGTCTTTATTCTCATCACAATGTAACATGAAATGTTTTACCCTCAGATCCCAAAATTTTACTAAAGATTAGCCATTTTTTTCCTTGTTTTTAGAATTTCAGGATAACTCGGGAGGATCTGATAACAATTGGGGGAGTGGGAGACAACACGACAAATAGGGAGACTCTCAATCAAATCGGGAGGGTTAGAATGTCTGGGAGTCGTTCCCTTTTATTTAAGCGAGAACACAGCCCTCTGTTTCTACTACGTTCAAGCATAGATCGAGCTCGTTCAATGGCACTTGAAACATTGCTGGCTGTTCTTCTGCTATTTGCTAGTAAAATCTGTGTCACATTGCCATTTGAGCTTGAATCACTACTATCCAAGACCTGGGAAACTATTCTAGAACATTCACCCAGGAAAGCAGCAAGACTTCAAAGCTGCTTCTCCATTTTACCTGCAAATGGCAAGAAGAGCTGGAAGAGCGTGATTCCCGTATGTATAAGATCCGCAGTGCTTTGCAAGAACCATGACGCTTTGCACTTAATTTGAAATTCATTGAATTGAAGTTGAATATTGAAAATGAATTGACATTGAATTGAAATTGAATCGAATTTGAATTTCATTGAATTGACATGAATTGCAATTGAACTTCTTTGAGTTGACATTGCATTTCATTGAATTGACATTGAATTGAATGAACTGACATTGAATTCAAATTAAAAACTGAATTTATTTTCACTGAAGTGACATTGAATTTCATTGGATTGAAATTGAACTTCACTGAATTGACATTGAATTGAAATTGAATTTCATTGGATTCAGGTGTTGAATAATGCTACAATCGGCTTGCCATAAAGATACGAAATTTCTCTTCTCGTGTTGACAAAATTTTACTCGTTTTACTCACGAGTAATTCGTGAAGAGCTCAATCGAACTTAGAAAAATTCCGTATCTCTGCGCGGCCATGTAATTTCCACTTTGTAATACGATTACTTACTTGCAAACGCCATGATCACCTGTCAACCTCAATGTCCTTCAAAGCTTCTCTTCTAACATTAAGGGATTACAGAGCTTGAACTACTCTTCTAGCCTACTAATACGTACAGGCGCGTAGCATGAAGTGTTTGTTGGGCACACTACCGAGCTTGAAGTCACATGGGCCATCACATGTACGTTACATGTACGTACACATGGTACATGGCGGTTGAAACCTGTTGAAACCGGTTTCGCGTGGCGGAAGTGTAAATTGGCAAAGGGAAACGGAATAAACGGAATATGGGATCCAAGTAATGGGCTCTTTCAAGAGACTATAAAGGGGACAGAGAGGGCATCCCCCATATACACCCTATTCCATAGGTAATTCGTCTCGAGTTATTTTTAGAATCGGGATAAAGTTACCTCGCGCGAGGCGTGGATGTTTCGTGGAGGTTTCGCATGACCAAACGCCGTGCAAAACATGTCGGGCGAGAGGCAATGAAAGCGTATAAACATCGAGAGCATTCCTGAATATTGAAGCGAAATGAGTCGGCGCTCACCTGGGAAAAAGGAATCGCTGGACTCTTTGACAACCCGTGAAATCAGTTTAACTCGAAGTTGTCGTAACCTCAGTGCTTTAATAAAATGAGAAATTTCGCCGGTCTATTGAAACCGGTCGTTTGTACAATTTAGGGAGTTTAAGATCCAACGACGCGGACGACAACTAGAACGTCAAAAAAACAATAGGTTTAATTAGCAAAACAACAACTTCGCACGTGCAACACACTTTTTTGTCCATTTCTTTCCCGTTTTTGCACGACTACGACGTGAAAATGCCTAATTTCGCGTTTTATGGAGGACGTAAATAAGCAACGACGAAATTTTATTTCTCTTTCTGAGCTTGAATATGGTCCCTTGAAATTCAGCTTTAGGAGGGTTCGCCTACAGTTGACAAAGTGTGTAGGAATAATCGCTATAAAGACTGAAAAAAATAAACATCGAATCAGAAATTGCAATCTTCAAACTGTAAATTATAAATGATCCTGAGAGAATATTCAGTGTATTAAGGATTTCCCTGCTCTACTGTTAGCTCTATACAAAAGAGGAAGGGCGATTCTTTTTTAATTTCGGTTTTGCTGACACAGCTTTCGCAGAAATCTCGCTGTAGTCGTTTTCGTCGACAAAAGGAATAGCAAAATCGCTCTCCGCGTCTTCCCCCATTTTGTTCTGCGTCATTTCGTGAAGGACGCGTGGCTCTCAGCGTGGGTCATCCACGCGGAACACATTCGCGCTATGTGATTGGCTGTTGTCTAATCCCCCTTAAGATCTGTGGTGTTAAAAATAACTCGAGACGAATTACCTATGGAATAAGGTGTCTATGGGGGATGCCCTCTCTGTCCCCTTTATAGTCTCTTGGCTCTTTACATGACTTGATCACGTGACCAACTTTCGGTAAACACGAAAACAGTTCGCTTTTGAAAAATGTCGTTAGCACAAGCTGAAAGAGCATATTAAAATTAGGTAACATGAGACTGATTTTCAGCCCTATATCTCCAAAGTAGCGATTGCAACGCCCGTCGAAAGTTAGAAGGATTTGTATGAGAAAAACAACTTTTGCCACCCAGTCACGCTTACATGGTTTTCCATACAAATTCGTGTAAATTCTAAAATTTTTAAACTGCATGTCGAGTAATCTTTTTCTTACGCATTTAACGGCTCAAATTGTCTGTTATGAATTCAAAGGAGATTTGAGACCTGTAATGCTTGAGGAAATATTTCATGGCAGTTTTGAAAATTTCGAAATTACAAGGATTTGTATGGAAGACCATGCAAGCTTGACTGGATGGCAAAAGTCGTTTTTCTCATACAAATGCTTCCAACTTTCGGCGGCCGTTGCGATCGCTATTTTTGAGATGTACGGCTGAAAATTTAGATTTTTCCAAAGTGAACTGTTTTCGTAGTTACCGAAAGTTGATCACATGATCAAGTCATGCTAAGAGCCTATTGATTTGAAAAAAAAAGGAATAGAAACAATAATAGTCAAATAAATAAACAGGTTAAATGGAGACATGAGTCAATAAATTTCCTGGTCAGAGGAGAGTGCTATGACTAGAGGAGTCGATTTCCGGTTAAAATTATTAAGACTCTTTTTTTTTCCTATTATTATGCAAATTCTCATAGGGCAGTATGTCACAGTAAATCAAGGGTGTTTGTAGAATCAGGAACAGGTCCGGAACACCCCGGAACACCCTCAAGACACCCCAGAACACCCCTCTGACGGGCCGGACCCCCCGGAACACCTTAATTACAAAAAAAAAATTACAAAACCAAAAAAAAACCTGAAAAATTATCAAGGAATCAATAAATATCCTTCATCTGTAACTGGAAAACGGATATTAGGGCAGATTAATGAATCCACGCCACTTAGCGACTTCTGAAGATTTTAAGAAAGTAGTCCGCTGCTTTCATACGAATACTTACCAGCCTTTTTCTCTGAAATATAGTTGAGTGACCGTCCATGCACTTCAATAAAAAATTATGAAGGAAAACATCATTTTACATGCCCATATTTAATCTTGAATTATTCAAAACTTTAATTTTAAACTTCGCGTACATTCATTTCAAACGTAGAAAGTTAGGTATGTTTATCCTCTTTCAGAAATGCTAATTTGTTTATCCAAACAAAGTAAATTCGCCACCAATTCGCCAATTTCCTTCATTTTCAATTTTGGTCACGTGACATGTCACGTGGCCATAATTAAACGTTAAGGCACAAAAAAACCTCAAGATTTACTTATGCGAAAAAATTTATTTTGTTCTAGGTCTCCTAGCGAGAGATATTGCCAATCATTCAAATGCTCCGAACACACCTTTGACCCAGCCGCCTAAGCCTTTTAAAAACCCCGTGAGAAGAAAAGTGATGCCATATATTTGAACCCTGTACGATTCGGTCCGTTTCGTACACAGAACGAACTAATTTTACAAATTAGCATCGTGGAATTGGATTTTTTGGTGAAAAAAGTTGTTGGTACCACAAATGTTGACATCTTATTTCCAACCTTCACATTCTTGTGAAGGATTCCGGTTTAAGCCCTGAAAACCATGCCCTGCTCAGGGGCAATTTACCGTCAAGGCCAAATAAGGGTGTGCCCCCTTCCAAGAAACACTTACAGAACAAAGAATGATCCAGGATGCAATACGTATATAATCTACCGCTCGAAAGAAAAAAAAAACAAACAGCTGGAAAATCAAAATGAAACTCTAAGACCTAGGATATATATTTTTTTAAATCAAAGACAAAATGTCAGAGTAAAAGAAAGCAAGACAAGTGAATTTCATAATTTATACTCCTCGAACACGGTAGACATCAAATCGGCAACATATTTATTTAGAAGATATTTTATTTTTCTTTTTGTTTTTCTTTTTTTCTTGAGTTAAGTAGCGGCTCTTTCAGCTATATTTCAGGCAAAAAGGCTGGTAAGTATTCGAATAAAAGCAACGGACTACTTTCTTAAAATCTTCAGAAGTCAATCTCCTTTTTTCAGTCACAGATGAAAGATATTTTTGATTCATTGATAATTTTGTAAGGTTTCTTTTTGTAATTTGTTTGCCTAATTTTTGTAATTAAGGTGTTCCGGGGGGTCCGGCCCTTCAGAGAGGTGTTTCGGCGTGTTCCGGGCCTGTTCCTGGTTGGTTTTACAGACACCCGTAAATTAAAAAGCGAGAAGAAAAATAGCCTGCAAAGAAGGCGTATTTAGCAGTGCGAACGATTTCGAAGTTGAACTGACAAAGAGCTGGAGCGAGTCAAAAACAGATTCCAAGGGAGAGGTTATGTGCAGTCAGGCGCAGCAGGAGGAATTTCCTTTTCAGCGCTTCAATTGAAAACATGGCTCCGCTCATAGCCTGCGAAAACAGCCGTTTCTCCTCGCTCCAGACCGCTGGAGACGTTTCGAGAGGAGGAACGTCAGCGCTCAGCGACAGAAATTCCATACTGATGACGTAAAATCTGTCCGGAATTAAAATCCGGTCACAAGCGCTGATTGGACGACAGAGTAGTTACACTGTTTTAATTAGCCATTGTTTACGAATGACAGACAAAAGACACAACACAACACTTAACCAAATCGACCAAAACATGATCAATCCTCAGCTATTGCTGACCATGTCACTGCCACCCTGTATGGCGGGTACCATTTCATATAAAATTAAGTGGGATCATTTGGAAATTTCAGCATCTGGCAAAACAGATTATCATTGTAAGATAAAACAAACATTGTTTATACAAAACCTTAAGCCAGCTTTTAATGTCAACATCAGCAGTGAAAAGATGATGCTTTATTAGCTGTTTTGCTTTTGTATACATTACTGTTAAGAATTTTGAATTCTTAATCTCATTTCCAGTGCCCCTTGTAAAATATTTTGTATATATAGTCTCGGCATTGTCTTCAACGGTCACTTTAGATCACTTTTGAAATTGTATGTTGAATAGCATACGAATCGTCAAGTCCAGTGGTGGATCCAGAGGAGGGCCCCCCCTTATTTTTAGACCAAACTGAGACCCAAAGAGCCGAAAAGAATTTTTTTGGAGACCGCCCGCCCCTCCCTTATCTAAGGGTCTGGATGACCGGGCTTCCCCCTTATCTTAAAGTCTTATCCGGAACTGAAGTTTATAAAAATGCGAAAACTCACAATGTTTATCACCGCAGTTTGTGTTTTATTTTTGATCAAACTACGATGGGCCAAGAACAAAAGTCTCTATGAGACTCACTCTCTCCCCGATTTTTTTCTGAGGGGAGGGGGCGTCTGTACACAGGATACTCCGCTCAACAATGGCTGCAGAAAGGTTCAGTAATCTGAACAGGAAGCATAGGCTCCTGGCAGCCACAAAGAGAGAACAGACAATACAATATAATATAACTATAACTGATAAAGAAATTTTGGTATATATATATTATTATTATTATTATTATTATTATTATTATTATTGTTATTATTATTATTATCATTATTGGAAACTGAATCATTATATAATGCAATTCTAGAGCTCTGATTGGCTTAGCCATCAT